GGGGGAGAAGAGCTGATGTCTACTGACATGGACATTGGAAGATACGCTGGAAGGAAAGCCACGACAATGAATATTTCCAACGGTGAGCATATTATTATGCAGCAGACGTAGATCTACATAGTACACGTGAGCTGTCCACGTGGAAGTGTAAAGTTGACGCATCAAAATGAAATGGCACTACAAACACAAAATGTAAATGTCTTTGAAGAAATTGAACAATAATCTTTGGAGAGCCTTGCTCTTGACTGACCCTGTTGAAAATCAGCAATCAAAGAAGGCAGCTAATCACAATACGGTAAGTGTTATGAAGTTTCACGAATTAGAAATGCTGAAGCCAAAAGAGAAGCTCGTGAGCTTTGCCTGATTTTTGTTGCGGCCGACGGCTGGACGATCTCTCCCAGTCTGGCTCCCGCCGACAATTATGTATTCTATTTTCTTTTGTTGCTGTTGTTTACAAACTTATTGAAAACTACGTACTACTGTCGTCGTATGTTCTTGTTAGCGATCCAGTAGCATCTGGCTATCGTCGTATAAATGATAGAAAATTCGGAACAAGCGCTTCAAAACTAAGAAAATGACACGCGAATTATCTCTTTTTTTTTTGTTGTTGGATTTGGACGATCACAAAAAAGTATTTTTACCATGATTGCATCAATCATTTTCTTATAACACGAAGAGACCGGACAACCCTCAGTTTTAACCCTTTAGACCTGGCAGTCCCAGAGCTGCGCCTCTGCTTTTTTCCAAATTTAATTTACGCTCGAGTTCTTTTTCGTTTTTCTTTGAAATGTAGGCAAAGCAGAACTGGTCAGTTTCTCACCATGCATTTCATTCAGCAGTTTAGATCATTATTTTTCTTTCTCTTCTCCCTTTCCTATACATCCTTTATAGACTTATTCAGCTTTTGACTTCTGTCATATTTTAAAATTCTCTTTCTCCTTTAAATTGCTTCTTTGGTAAGTTTGAGTAGTGAAGATTTATTTTGAAATTTACTACACAGTTAGCCTGAGAAGGCTGAGCGCGCTTTTTCTTCAACTTTCAACAACCAGACTGTTTCCCCTCTACGCGGCAAGCATACAGAACCCCCAGTTTTCTTGCCCTAGACTGAAGACTTGGGGGCGTGGCAAAACCATGCAGAGTTTATGGCGTGTTCCACAAACCTCAGAGCTTGCCTTCAACAAATCTGGGAACTTTGAGGATCTAATATTTAGCAATTCTCAGTGGTTTTGACAGAAGTCCGAGTCATTTTCACTGACGGTTTTCGGGGGGATTTTTTTTCTTCAGTAAAATCTTCCAAACATTGAAAACGCCAGTAAAAAAGTGGGGCTCTCCACCAACCTTCAGAACACAGGGCTGACACAAAACCCTTCCAGACCAAAAGGAAACTCACTGAAGCTGAAACCACAAATATTTTCCAATTGCTCATCAAGTTTGCAACCAACTGTTTAAGGTCAAAACCATGAACAAAGGAATTAAAAACTAACTACTGCATAATGTATTAAATAAAAACAAAAACGAATCGAAATTTTAAATCTTTTATTTTTGTATAAGTCGCTACTACACAATGTTCAAACAGTTCAATATCAATAGCCCTATTAATAGCCCAGTCTGAACACATCACACACATCTCCGAGCTAATCTCAATACCAGGAAAATAAAGAGACCTCAGCTGCGGTTTCCTTTAGGTGGGTACAACATAACAATGTACAAAACAAAGTAGAATATCAAAAACATAAACTCTGGACAAAACAGGACACAAGTTGAAAAGCCCATACATTCTAGACAAAGTCAATTGTATCTTGCATTTAGATGGCCACCAGTCATGTTAAGTTATCAACCAAGTTTGATGTTCACAGGGCAGATCCCAAACTTAATATTTATCATAGAATAAAGAAGAAAAAAATACCCACAAAAACAGACAAGAGACATAAAGAACAAGCAACTAGAAACTACAATTATAGTAGTAGTAGCAACTAGACAAGATTCCTCAGGTATAACCTAAGGTCAAAATAGACTCAGAATAATACACATTAGTTGTTCATATTATAAAATAAAAAGGGAGTAGAACATGAAGGGGAAAAGTTTTGTTTGGTTTTTTTTACAAAATTGTTCACGTAAACCATCACATGAAGCAACTTTTACCATTCATCCAAGAGAAGGTACCCGGTAAGCAAGATACTCTAGGCACCTACCATTTTAATACACTCAAACAGCACATTTGTAATGAGTCAATGACCAAGGCTAAGCGTTCATTACACTGCTTTTATTCTGATAGAAAATTTGTAGTTAGTTTTGGACACTAACAATTTTTTTTTAAAATTGAAACACCAGCAAAAATTCCCACAGCCTAAGAAAGAGCATTAGGTTTATACAAGTAGAAAATACTTTTGACACCCGCAAGAAAACTCACTGAACATTGTAGCCCAAAAGAACAAGCCATTAGTCTACTATGTTGGTGATACCCTCAATAAGATACTCAGCAAATACATGTATATAGACGGCCACTGAAAGAAAGGAAGAGATTCTACATGACATTTAAACGGTCAGGGACATCATCTGACCAGTGCTTATTCTTCAGATCGAAATTTGATTCAGAGATAAAGTTTGTACAAGGTACTGGGCATTCAATCAAAGGAGAAAAAAAAACAACTGACAATAATCTTGATTGCAGACACACAGGGATAAATTAAATGCTAGATAAAAATAAGCCATGGCATTTCACATTCCTAAAGGAGTGCGTAGAAAGATTACGAAAATTCTTGAACTAGAAAGAAAACTACTTTTGGCACTTTTCAAATAATAAGAAATAAAAAGACATAACTTACAAAAAATAAAAGTGTATAAACTACATAATATATCCATTTTTTTTCTTTTCAACAAAAATAACACTTGCTCAGAAAATAATTCCTCATTTTCATCTGTCACACATGACTCACTCTTCTCATAAATGCTGGTAAGACAAAATGCTAAAAAAAAAAGCTTGATTTTTTAATAATTTCTGAGAGATCACAGACACAAAATCAATCTTATACCCAAGCTTGAAAGCACACAAAGGGAAATTCAACGAAATTTAGAGTGGAGCAGTGGACAAGCCAGAAATCTCCAAGTTCTAAACTCAGTTTGTACTGGATTTGATGAAGTTGATGAGGCCGTTAGTGGAGCTGTCATGGGAGGAGACGTTACCAGGGGCAGACAACTCTGGGAGAATAGCTTTAGCCAGAACTTTGCCCAGTTCCACACTGAAAAATGAGGGAAAAAAAACCAGCAAATAGAATCCTTCCTTTGCCATGAGAACATCTAACTAAATGGGAAAGAGAAGATCCAATAAAAACGTTCATTTGCTGTGAGAATTTCAATCCAAGTCAACAACAACAACAACAAAATTACCGCAGAAAGAATTCATTTGCTTTGACACTGTCATATTAATTCAAAATGAGAGAAGCAGAACGTAAGGTCATTTACCAGTAGATTGAATATCAGAGCAGCCATTCAACTGCTGAGCTCTCCCCACCCCCCACCCACCCACTCCCCTTATATTTCCAAAAAACCTACTTTTGAAATGACAAGAGCTTAACGCGACATAGCGCATGATAAGTTTTTAAAATAAATCATGAAGTAAATACTCAATTCACATGAGGATTCTGGATCTGCTCGTAGGCCTTTCATGCAATTTGCTACTTACCCCCATTGATCAAATGAGTTAATATCCCACACAATGCCTTGGGTGAAGATCTTCATCTCGTACATTGCTGAAAAAGTTAAAGAGCATAAAATCAAACTTTAATGACACAGAGGGGTTTTTTTTATTTTATAGTAGAAGGTTTTACGGCGCTCGCAACTACATAAGGTCATATGAGCGCCAAGGGGTGGGTGTCAACAGAGAAGTCTTTACAGGGAATCAGACTTATTCTGCTCACCTCTCTAGTCTCAACAGCACAAAGTCTGCTTCGACTATCAAGGCACCCCAGAAATAGCGGGTCACAAGAGAGTGACAAACATACAAAAGAAGTAGAGGAAAATGACAATAGTAAGGATTAAAAAAGAAAAAGCAGTAGTTCCCTGTTGCAGATCAGGCACAGTTATGAGCATGACATGAATCAGCCCATTTACAATTCTACTATGCTTGAACGAGAAATGTCCTCCCTTTGGGAATGGCCTAAAGACACTACAGTCAGTGGCACTGCCCCGGGGGTGGGGGGGGGGGGGGGTGGTGGTGACAGAGGGTCTGCTAATGTCAAATAACAACCTTTTTTTCATGATAATTTTGTTCTGCTTTTTATGCAATAAGATCACTTCAGAGATGAAAAAACAAGGATTGCGGTTAGTATTCAAAAGGGCAAAACATTAAAAAAATAATGTTCGCAGCAACAATGAGTTTTAAAATGGATTTTAAAGCTGGGAATATTTCGTGAACCCACTCCACTTACAAATCATTACACCGCTGTTACTAAGAGACATTATGATGGGTCTGCACAATAAATGAAAACTCTCCCCTTGGATTACAAATTGGGAGAGCAGAGACAAAGGAAATCAAAAGGAACTGCCCATTTCAGTTTTACTCCACTTGCAACACAACGTAAGCTACAAAAGACATGGGGCCGACTTATAATCCACCTCAGCATAAAGTAAGGGTACGTAGTTTAAACAGCCAAAATGCACTGCTCACAGCCGAACGCTCCGTATCCCGGACTCTAGCATGGAGATCATCAGGAGAGAATGCGTCGCTGTTTCGGGCTCTTCCTCTCTACAACTTTTCTGACACACTGAGCCCCCTCACCGATGTGAGGTCTCCATGCTAATTTGACTGTTTTCCTCTGCTGCCAACTTTAGGATTCATTCCAGCCTGCGTCCTCTCGTTTCAACTTGATCCAGTGACTGGCTTTCTCTGCTGTCTCCTGAAGGGAGTTTGTGAGTTCGTTGCTTTTCTTTGCAGTAAGTCCTGCCACTCTTATCCATTTACCGGCGCTTGTTGCTAAAAAACCTCTGCATCCTACCTCTACCGGAAAATGGGTTGCTTTCCATCCTGCCTCCTCACATTGTTCGACGAGTGCCTCATAACGGGGTTTTTCCGCTCATGAGCGGCATAGATATTGTCCTCGTGGGGCACCGTGAGCTCTACCAAGTGCACCTCTTTGTCTTTTTCCTCCCATAACACAATGTCTGGCTTTTTCGTAGTTGGAATGGGGAAGAATCTCTCAAAGCCCTTTAAGTCAGCGGCTACCTCCCATGTGCTTCCGCTCTGGTCTTCCATGACTTCGTTCACTTTCTTTCTTTCGGTAACCTTGCTTCCTTGCGGAACGAACGCAATCTTGGTGAGTCCATGCTTCTGTATCTTGGGGGCAATCTCTTTGATATGACAATCTTAGACCTCCATTCACATCCATCCTACTCATATACTTGATGTTACGACGAAAGTGGAACAATTTGCCATTCAATAGCTATAATATTTTTATTCTGGGAACATATATATATTTTTTGAGTGTGGACATCTGACACAATAGGAAAACCTACTCAGTTAACTACCCAGGTACGTTGCAAAGGGCAAACCTGGCATCACAGAAAGCTTTGCCCTCCCTGCACCTTAAGAATAGCTTGGCCAATTATGTGCAGTGTGTCATCAAATGTTTGGCAGCCATAAAAAGAAAAGACATAATCAGTACCCAAAAAGGCTTACCTATGAGCATTCCTAGGTTGAAGGGGGTCAGGCGCTGGAAGACAATAGAATTGCTAGGCCGGTTTCCTTCAAACACCTGGAAAACAAGGCAACAAAAACTTCCTAGTAATCCTACTTTGTTCACAATATTACCTATACTTTGTACCATAGTCATTGTTGTAAAGTAATCATTATGTAACATTATAAGTACCCACTTTCAGTATTCCATAACGAGTACTGTAATGGTTAGTACATCGGTATCGTTGAGAGCAAGAAAAGAGTAACACACACACAGAGAAACAATAAAGATGTCTAGCCTACAGTAGCACAAGTCACAATCATGTAAAGTGTTTGTCTTATGTTAAACTCTGGAAAAACAGCCCGAGAAGATGCTTCATATATAAATGTTTAACGTTGTTGGTGTTCTTGGACTGTTCGCAAGTAGAATACACAACAGTCATAACACAAGTCCTAGCATAAGCCGTTGAGGAATCTGAAGCAGTCGGAGGTTAGCACGTGTGCCAGAGGTGGAAGAGGGGAAGATGATGTTTTTTGTTTGCTTGTTTGACTTAGTAAGAATTTTACGGCACTTGCAACACAATTAGGTCAAATAAGTGCTGAAGGTTAAAGGTGTTATAGGAGAGTAACAAACACAAAAAAACACCAAAAAAGAGAAGGAGAGATAAGGACAATAGATGTTTGACAGGAAAGAAGGAGCAAACCCCACCACAGCACCCACCAACCACCCACTAGATGATGAAAAAAGAACCCAAAAAACACTCCAAACTCCATGCCTGTAAGGCAAAACACAAATGGTGATAAGAATAGTTAGAGTCGATTGCTAAGAATAATCACGCATGCCTAAAAAAATACATTCTTACACACCCAAACACCAATGGCTTTTTTTTTTTTGTGGGGCTCCATTAACACTTTTCGGTCACTTGGCGCAATAATGCGCCGGAGAAAAATTATCCGTTCCAGTCACCTAGCGCATTTCTGGGCAAGACCCAAGAAGTCGGTTGCAGTCGCTCTCCAGGCTGGGTGACCAGATGGAGTATTTTGTACTGCTGGCTGTGTGACTGCAAAGTGTTCAAACAGGTGGTTTATGCTCTCATCAACACTACATGTATTTCAGTCCTTTAGAAGACTGGCAGCTTCAACCCTGCTAGTAACTACAGTCGGGGTCAACCATTCAAACAGACAGAAATACTTGATCAAAATTCTCCTCATACAGGAATTGAGCTCAGGTCATCTGCACCCAATGTCAAAGTCCCTAACTGCTACACCACAGACAACTGTACACACCAGTTGAAATGTGTTACTTCTTACCAAAAAACCCAGGAACAGCAGACGTCAACTCACCTTGTGCGGCTTGATCAGTCGAATCTGGTCCTCACTCATGCCAGAGGCACGGAGCTCTGCCTCCACTTCTTCTCCAGACTTCCCTTTCATCAAAGCTTCTGTCTGAGCCAAGAAGTTGGACAGCAGAATCTGGTAACAAAAGAGACCAAATTGTGATAATTAGAGATGGTAAAGACAAAACTAGCTACATTTCTTACGCCCAGCTCATCAACACTGGTTCCTTTCACCACTTTCAGCACAACATGGGGTCAATGTCCTTCAACATAAAGTACTGTACTGTTAGTTTTGAACCCTGACCTCTGATATCCCTAGCAGGACTAAGCTGAGAGTTTGCAGAGTCGTGAAAAACAAAACCTATGAGAGATTCAACACCTGGGAAAACACTGTAATCATGTTTGTTTGTTTTAGTACAGGTTTTACCGTATTTTACGGCGCTCGCAACTGCATAAGGTCATATGAGCGCCAGAAGATTAGAGGTGTTACGAGAGAGTAACAAACATTTAAAAAAGTAGGAGGGGAGATAAGGACGATCGATGTTTGATAGGAAAGAAAAAGCAAACCACACCAGAGCTCCCCCCAACCACCCACTTAGTCCATTGTGATGTCAACAGAACAGTGCATCCATAATAGAGTGGAATACAAGCATAAGGATACAATAACACTTATTTTATGTTTTCAAATACAAACGGAACACACCAAAAAGGCACAGTTTAGTTTTAGTTGTAGAGGTTTTACAGCGCTCGCAACTGCAAAAGGTCATATGAGCGCCAAAAGATTAGAGGTGTTACAAGAGAGTAACAAACATAAAAAAGAAGAAGGGGAGATAAGGATGATAGATGTTTGATAGGAAAGAAGAAGCAAACCACACCAGAGCACCCGCCAACCACCCACAAAAGGCACAGGCAGGCTAGAAGAAGACCTGACCTCCAACACTCCGTGATCACTAAATCAGGAGCTCACCTGGAGCATACAATCCCAACACAATACACTAAATAAACACAGGAGCATTCAGTACTAGAAAGCATCATAGTCAGCCCCTGGGACAGAAAGACCTTGCACATCAGCTTTATTTCATCAAAGATACTGTTGCCACCATCAACATTAAAATAACCTCCTTTGTTGCTGGAGAGGTAAGCCTATGCCGGAATTGCCTGTCCCATACCTGGATAAGATGATTTCAAAAATGCCTAAAAATAATTATCAGCACATTTGAAGGAACCCTCAAGGTACCCTTTTCAAATAATCACCCAAAAAACTGGAAACTATTAAACCAAACATTTCAATAGGTCAAATAGCATGATTAAGGATGTCTAGCACAAACTCTTAACCCTATCCGTACGTCGTGTTTTACTATCCTATCCATACGACGTGGCGAACTCTGTGCCACCACTTTCCAGAGAGGAAATTTACTCGTTTATCCGATCCATACGCATTGTAAAGTAGTCTGTCTAAATGATTTTTCTAGAAATACTGAAAGTCTCGAAGAGATCTTCGTACTAGAAGTATTCAAAAATATGAAGAATACAACCCCGGGGGTACAAAATGACCCCAGGGCGTACGGATAGGGTTAAGTAACTCTTAACTATCAACTCTGATCTTTTGCTACCTTTTGATGGAGTCCATTCTGGATAGGGTTCAAGGTGTCCACAGCAACAAGGAAATCACAAGGAATCACATGGGTTCCTAAAGGTGAAATGAAAGACAAAAGACAGAAAAAAATATTCAACAAAACAAAAACTTGAGGAACTAAATTCTACACTCATGATACAGAGCATTAATGGGAGGACTTAGGCAAAATGGCTTGTGGCATACAGTTTCTCATAAGCCAGACGGCAACAACTTTGGGTTTTTTTCTGCTTTTCAGAAGTTTAAAAGCCTATCCATCGCAGAAAAGATCATTTGGATAGCTGAGTGCTTTATCCATGGGTAGGAACGAGCGCTGGGACTGAGAAGAAACTCTGACCTCACTCAGATTTAAGCTTGCAATTTCAAGATGATGGTTGTTCTTGACAGCAGTTTATGACAAATCTGTCTTACGATCCTCACATTTCATCAGGGTCAGGTTTAGTTAATATAAACAATGGAAAAATGTGGTATGATCAGATCCCACTAGACAGACAATCAGCAACAGTGGAATGCAGTAGACACAAAACCAACTGGGCCACAGCCTGAAAAAATATAAGAGAAATTGTATTGTCCCTTGCAACACTGTAAGGTTATTTAACAGGCAGGATCTCCTGGTTTAAATTTAATATCCATTTCTGACAGGACTGGGCTAAATGGGAAAAATCAGGGTAAAAAAAGTGCCTTTCCCAAGGATACAATGTTAGACTGAGCCGAGCTGAGTCTCAAATGTTAGACTGAGCCAAGCTGAGTCTCAAACCCTTGAATCCTTATACTGCAATCTCATGATTACAGGTCTGGTAGCCAAACAACTAGACTATTTTTTTAATTTTAAAAAAAATTATTTTTTTTGTTAGTGTTTTACGGCACTTGCAACACAATAAGGTCATATAAGTGCCGAAGATTAGAGGTGTTACAAGAGAGTAACAAACATAAAAAAGAAGGAGCAGAGATAAGACGGTAGATGTTTGATAGGAAAGAAGAAGCAAACCACACCAGAGCACCCACCAACTACCCACCAACTAGGCTATCAATCCACAGCCTGGAGCTTAACTGTCATTATAATCCCATTTGCTCTTCAGAGTCAGAGATTGAGAGAAGCACATTAACACAATAAGAGTCGTTTGGTGCCGAGAAAAGGCAACAGAGACAGACAGGCAGAAACAAAGGAGAGACAGTAAACAGGTAGGATCCGGCAGTGATTATCCCTCATCCACTCGCAAATCCAGTCAGCCAGAGTGTGGGGAAGCTCTATGAGCAAGAGAGGCATAATACCTAGTTAGTTTTAGTAGAGGGTTTACGGCGCTCGCAACTGCATAAGGTCATATGAGCGCCAGAAGATTAGAGGGTAAGAAACAAAAAAAAGAAGGAGGGGGAAATAAGGACGATAGATGTTTGATAAGAAAGAAGGAGCAAACCACACCAGAGCACCCGCCAACCACACACTGACATATACCTTGATGTATCAGCTGATAGAAGGCGTGCTGGCCGTTGGTACCGGGCTCTCCCCACACGATGGACCCTGTGTTGTAGTCAACGTGCTGGCCATCCCGTGTGATGTACTTGCCGTTACTCTCCATGTCACCTTGTTGGAAATAGGCTGGGAATCTGTGCAGGTACTGAAAGTTACAGGAGAGATAAGACAAGATAACATAGCACATGGATAAAGATGAGACAGGATAAGCTTCATCTTCCATCCATAATGGAACACATCTCAAATTCAATGACATTATACTGCTCATACAAAATATTTCTACTAGTATTTGGGTCAAAAAGCCTTTTCCAGTTGTGTCTATTGTTAAGAAAGACATGATAATTATAGGAATACTCGTTCAAAAAGGCTACAGGGGAAAATTCTTTACATAGAAAATAGACTTTCAGTGCATTCTGTCCATGACTTGCACCCGAAAACTGAAAAAGAAATCTTTTTTTTTGGTAAGTGTTTTACGGCGCTCGCAACTGCATAAGGTCATATGAGTAAATGAGCGCGCAGGACACACCGAACATTTTCAGTTGGTAGGAAAGTTTGAATTTTGCCCAGGTGGCGGTCGAAGCCTACTCTTATCAATTTTTGACCACCAAGGAATCTTTAACATGTGCAGCTTGCCCATGTCCGAGAAAGCTAAATGTAGATCTTTCCTACCAGAATACCAGGGGTGTGGCTGAAAGACAGCAGCAAGATGGAGCCAAGGAGTAACAGTAGAAAGGCTGCAGAAAGAGTCAGAAGCCCAGAGGATGGGGCAAAGGAGGTGAAGGGGTGGGGGCAGAAAATGGAGACGAAAGCAGATGACAGAACATTGCTAGAGAGCAGAAAAAGAGGTGAAAGGAGACAATTTCAGAGAAGAAAATTTTTCCGTCTGTACCCAGATTCGAACCCGGGACCTTTGAATGAGAGGCGAACACCTTAACCTCTGGGCCACGAGAGCCCCCAAGTGAGATCATTAGATGAAAATAAGTTTATCAATGGATAACCAAAGAGCTAGGCCTACTTATTCTGCACATCATAAACATTTTTTTTTAGTTTAGTAAAAGTTTTACTGCCCTCGCAACTGCATAAGGTCATAACAGCGTGTCACGTTGCTTTCCTGAGCTTATATAACTTTTGTAATTAATTTACAAGCAATTTCCATAATATAAGAGGCAAAAACAGCACCACTCTTGCAAGACATTACCTTTCTCACCCTGGATAAGGATATAGGCCACGAACAAACACTTTCCACCTTTCCCTATCCCGGGCTAGTCGCTCGATGTCACTCATGTCTTCCCCCTATTACAATATACCAGCAGGTTATTGTCATGACACTAAATGGCTACCTCTTGTTTGTTTTTTTGTTTTTGTAAGTGTTTTACGGCGCTCGCAACTGCATAAGGTCATATGAGCGCGCGGGACACACTAAACTTTTTCAGTTGGTAGGAAATTTAGAATTTTGCCCGGATGGCGGCCGAAGCCTACTCTTATCGATTTTAGACCACCAAGGGATCTTTAACGTGCACAGCTTGCACACGGGACCTCCGAGATTTTTCGCCCTTGTCCGAGAAGGCTAGGTGTAGATCTTTCCTACCAGAAGATCAGGGGTGTGGCTGAAAGACAGCAGTAAGAAGAAATGGCTACCTCTTACCTGATCATAGGGCAAGATGGTGTAGGACTGAGATCCAAAGAAGTTGGTGTACCAGATTCCAAGGGCAGCCAGGATCATTGGGATCTGAGCAGAATAAAAAACAAAGAATCTCACTTTGTATGTATGTAGTATAGGGTTTTACGGCGCTCGCAACTGCTAAGGTCATAAGGATCTCACTTTATGAAGCTGAAACCCAACATCAGTTCCACAAAGAGCACCAGCAAATCATTTCTAACATAAAATAAAATAAGTAAGATGCTTCTCTCCTGATTGAAGGAAAGTGGTTAACAATACAGACGACATTTGTTTGTTTGTTTGTTTGATTTAGTAAAGAGAAGCTTATCGACACACTGATGATCATTTAGAGCTAGGAAAAAGCAAGGCAGACAGATAGATAGAAACAATAGTGGGGGGAAAGATTAATAACCTACAGTCAGTTTGCACGATGATCACCATATATTTCTATTCCAATGACAGTACCACTGAAAAGAATTAGATGTGGTGCACACCACACCATTAGATGTGGTGCACACCACACCATTAGATGTGGTGCACACCACACCGACACACAGGAGGTTTGGGGAAATAGATCTGAACAGTTCTCTCACATTCTTCTCTGGTGGGGCCTCCTTGAAGTGTTTGTCCATGAAGTGAGCTCCATCCAGCAGGGCTTCAAAGTTGTCCATGCCTGGGAGAAAGGGGTCAAAGTACCATAAAACGTTCTCATAATGTGTGTATGTTTGTGTGTGTCTGTGCGATAGAGTGCATTCATGGAAAGGAAAGGAAAGAGAGGGGGGAACGGTATATGTTATTACTTAGATAATTGTATGTTATTGTAATGTATATCAACAATAATAAAAATATAACTAAACAATATCGAGGACTAAGCTTAAAAAGTGAGATGCCATTCAAGTGGACTTTCAAATCATTTAAGTAAATAATCCAAGTCCAACTAACCTTATCAATATTCAATATGCGAGTCGGGCAGCATAGTGAAATCAGGTGCTCGTCAAAATAATGGAATTGAAGGACCTGAATTTTTCCTTGTTTAGCGATTTATAGTTGATTCTTATTTTTTAGCTCAATTCCTTTCATGTTCATTTAAAATCAAGTTTCTATATGGAATTTACTGAAAATCACAACAATTGTAAATTTTCACTTGCCAAGTACTCTCAAGCTTACGAATTCACCAAACTTGGAAGCCATTTTCTTGCTTATCTTATTATCTTACCTCCGAAACCATGCGACCGCAACCCCCCCCATTTAATGGCTAATATGTCGACTTCTATTCAAGTTGGACGGCTATTTCTTTTTCATTGAAAGCAAGAACAATGAACAGGCCTCAAGATTATATCAATAACTCCACATGCTCGAAACTGATGAGCACCTGATTCCACGGTATCATGACACACATAATCATAATCTGAGACAAACCTATATTTGTTCAACATCAAAAGACCCAAAATAATCAGAGGTAAAAAGACGTACCAATCATCAGTGCGATGGAAAGTCCAATAGCCGACCACAGGGAATAGCGGCCACCAACCCACTAGAAAGAAACATAAATATTAAAAAATTAAATTGTTTAAAACAGTACTGTGCTTTTCGACCCCATATTTGTTTGAGTACAGCCAGGTACAATGAAACAAAAACAGTCATTTAGTACAGGGGAAAAGCATGACAGACAGACTAAAGCAGCAGAGGATCGGAAAAGCATGACAGACAGACTAAAGCAGCAGAGGATCAGAAAAGCATGACAGACAGACTAAAGCAGCAGAGGATCGGAAAAGCATGACAGACAGACTAAAGCAGCAGAGGATCGGAAAAGCATGACAGACAGACTAAAGCAGCAGAGGATCAGAAAAGCATAACAGACAGACTAAAGCAGCAGAGGATCGGAAAAGAAGTAGGAGCTACCAGTGATATCCTTCAACCACCTGATCTAATCTCAGTTGTACATCTATGTCAACACAATTCTTACTGATTAAGAAGAAGGACCTCTGACTTGTCACCCTTTGAGCCCTAGCCACCGGTACACTGGTGGCACGTAAAACTGCGCGTATGCCTAGCCACCAGTACAGCAGTGAGCGAGACCCAATCCCCAACCCGACCCACCTGAGACTAACCGGATACCAAAAACTGCATTTACTACACATGGTGGTATTTATTATTTTGAAAATATCTTTCTGAATTAGATACTGGCAATGACAAGGACTACCATGAGTGGAATATGGAATGTAATTTTGTGAACATATGAGCGTTAGTAATATATTACTGAGGAGCTCAGGCTGCAGAGTAGCCTCAGGAGGTCAGGGCTCAAAGGTCTAATATTAACATCCAGCGAGAGAGGAAGGCAGAGGAGAAGGGAGGACAACATCACAGAGTGGACAGGGAAAATGATAGGTGACAATCTGAGGAAAGCAGAGGACAAAGAAAAATGGCGAGAGCTGGTTGTCAGATGCAGTGGTGCCCCCACGGTTGCCCCAACCACAGGATTGAAGAAGAAGAGGAAGAAGAAGAAGAAGGAGAAGGAGAAGGAGAAGGAGAAGGAGAAGAAGAAGAGGAAGAAGAAGAAGAAGAGGAAGCAGAGAGCAAAACAAAGCGGACAAAAGCAATGTTTTCAGTTACAAATCTATTCACAACTGCTATCTTCCAGCAACAAATGAAAAAATATCTAAGCGTAACAATTTCATGAAGAAAACATCTCAAAGATACAATTTAACAATAATTATAAAATAAAAGATTTTAAAAATAATGTTTTAAGTCCTCAAAATACATGTAAAATAAAATATTAAAAAGTAAGGAAACACAGGCACAAAAAAATCTGATACTGCTTATCTGTGGTAATTAACGTCTAGCTACCTTGTTTCTAACGTACTTTATATTAGCACTACACATCATCAACTCCATATGACAAAGAGTGCAAGGAATTTGCCATACATACCTAAGCCTTATGACTGCTTAATAAAGTAATTTTAAAAAGAAAATTTTAAGTGTCTAACTTTCAAAAGGGCAGGTATGAAACATCTTAGTAGAATTTCCTTTATATGGTCGCTTTTAAGGACAAGCGGACTAACCCGGATTTCACAGGTTTCTAGAAATCTTGATCTACACCAAAAGTGGCCATTGCCCTACCTATAGGAAAAGTTTGATTTTCACTGGTGTGTATATTTGTTTGGTTATAGAGGAAACTTTCCTTGTATTTTATTGAGACTGAACAAAGGGCAAAAACTTTACCTTCGATTTTCTCAAAACAGTATTTTTCAGGATAGTTCCCTTGTGCTTAAAAGCGACTGTGCAAGAACCTTGTCTCAGACAACAACCAAGAGAAAACAAAAGATTGAAAGAATACTCACATCCCAGAATTCAAACATGTTTGCCTCATCGATTCCAAATTCCTTCACTTTGGGCTGCAGAGCGAGAAGTTTTAAAGAATATATGAACAACAAAATGTATTTTCGAAATATTAAGATATATAGTGCACTCCAAGCTTGTAACAGAATGTTTCAAGTTTGAACCCATCCTTTAGAAAACAGTAAAATTGCAAATAAGGACATTTTATCTGATCAAATATGACAAGATAAGACGTGATTAATCTCCATTAAGATCAATGCTATGTGATATGTTTGTTCAAAAGATGTATGTGAAACAGAAAAATATACTTACAGCATTAGTAGACAGAGCAACAAAGTGCTTTGCAACAGCCTTTTCCTGAAAAACATAAAAGAATAATCTTTCACTTTATTAATTCCAACACAGTCAGTTTCATTTACAGAATGTTATATGCACCTTCTGAGAACTTAATCAAATTGTGCATACCAATATCAGTAGGCCCTAAAGATTAACTTCCCTAAAGATTAACTTATTCCATGTCAGACTATTTTCCCTATCCTGCACTAAAGATTTTTCTGCTAGCAATACACCTCCCTAAATGAATATTAACTAAACATCAACAATATTAGCAATGAGATTCTGATACTGCACTATAATTTGAGACAGAAATTATTATTTTTTACGGGATGTCACTTTTATTCAAAAGTCTCCAATATTTTCATAAATTGACCCTATTCAAGATACAAAAATTAGACCTACTGTGGATATTGTTACAATATTAAGCAGTCCATTCTCAGGAAATAAGACGTATAAACCATGCAGGAAACAGATTCAAAATTATGGACGGATAAAAAAAGAAACCTAGAGTAAAAATTAACGAGGATGAATCAAAATAAAGTCTAAATATTCCCTTGAAGTCAATACAGTCGTGGCAGCAGCAGGTTTAGCAATTGGGAAACAACCACTCAATAAGAGATTCAAACCCATCCCACTGCCGTTGAGAAAAAAAAAAGCCAGTCCCACAACTTTAATTTCGTTCAAGCTAGCAACAAAAGTAACCGGCGACAAACGGTAACAGTTCTCTGAAGTCTAAGAAAGAAGCCGACCTGGAAGACAAGTTCAAACCTTCACATCAAATAAAGGAATCAAATTGATGTCGTAGTTTGGTGTGTCTGTTACCTTACTTTACAATAACTTACATCCTTTGCTTTTTCCAGGAACCACTGCTTGGCAGACGTGGCATTTGTAATTGTTTCTTGGGTAGTGAATGTCTGAAAAGAAGGAAAAACGTTGAAACACATTCAACTGTATTAACTTAATAAACTAAAGAGACAGTGGAAGAGGACAAATACAAAGCCAAGCCTAGGCATTTTACTGAACAAAAATGTCTGAAAGCCCACCCCCTTATCTGTTAAAGCATACACTCCTACAAATCAAAGCATCTTGCTCTCCTTCCACAGAGCTGTCAAGAAAATCCCCATCTTTGCCCTTTTTTGGTGGTCCCACAATCTTGAAATGAATAAAAGTAGAATATAATTTTACAGTACTTGTACTAAAGCAAAAAAAAAATTGGGGGATTGCTATTTGTTACAATAGAGATAACGCTCAGCCCTTTGAATCAGTACATGAACACAGCTCATGGGGAAACTGCAAGTCCTGATTCCAGTCAAAAAGAGAAGACATGATTTGCTTTCAAATACATTTAACTTTTTAAAAAAGGCAGCCAATCTCTGCAACATTCTAAGAGAAGTGAATATTTCAAGTTCAAACATCCGAGTGGTAATACTAGTAAGTAATCTTCCATAAACAGAACACAGTAGAAGATTTACCCTCTTTGAATGAACAAAGTGATATTGAGATGAAAAACGACATCTTCATTCTGACTTACCTTCGATGCAATAATGAAAAGAGTGGTCTCAGGGTTGAGAGTCTTCAAAGTCTCTGCCATATGAGTTCCATCCACATTAGACACGAAATGTGAGGTGGGGCCACACTGGTACTGCTTCAGTGCTTCAGTCACCATAACTGGTCCCTGGAAGGGGAAACAATAAAAGCCATGTAAACCCAGTGTTTAGTCTGCAGTTATTAACTACAATAATATATAAGCATTTCATCAAACGCAAATAAGCACTGCAAAAAGAGATTTACACTCATCAGCTGGCAAAATCCGCCCCACTTCCAAAACATTACAGACAATCATACCCGCAGTGCAAAAGACTCTAGGCAAGCATAAAACTTAACGGGAAAAATCGTATGGCCAGATACCAAAACACAGAATCAGAAACAGCACGCAGTAACATTTTCACTTTGTTTGACAAGCAAAATCCAGTCATAAAAAAAAGGAAAAGATAGCTGTAAAATCAAACATTTTACTTGGTGCATTCATTCAATTGCAGATATATAGAACGCAAACTCACCAAATCAGAACCACCAATTCCAATGTTGACGCAGTCAGTGATGGGCTTCCCTGTGTAACCCTTCCACTGACCACTGCGGACCTGATCAGTAAACTGACGCATGTGAGCCAACACAGCATTCACCTCTGGCATCACCTGAAACAGGAGTCCATAGAGATATACCATCTATAGACTACATAGCAGTCGAAATAAAACAAAGAGGTTCTTTCATATTGCTGCGGAACATCACACTCCCAGAAATCATAATCTCTGTCAGTTTTACTAGAGGTTTTTTCGGCGCTCGCAACTGCATAAGGTTATATGAGCGCCAGAAGATTAGAGGTGTTACAATAGAGTAATAAACATAAAAAAGAAGGAGGGGAGATAAAGACTATAGGTGTTTTATAGGAAAGAAGCAAACCACACCAGAGAACCCGCCAACGACCCACTCACAATCTCAAATCTCTAACCTAACAAGAAAGCTCTGGAGAGGACCAGAGATTTATACAAACTCTCTGAGAATACACATGGGGACACGAGGTGTTACAGCCATCACTTGTCTCCCCTGCTGAACCACTGCTCGTTTCTCTTTTCAATACTTTAAATATTATCAACCTATTCAAAACCAGTTACAATTTTACAGATACTCTAACAAACAGGATCACGGTGACCGAGTACAAGGCGAAGGATTTCTTCTTCTTATTTTTATTACAACAGATTTAAAAACCACTGGCAGGAGACTCAAAATGTAAAAGTGACGGAAAACTCACATCTTTCCCGTCCACCATGATGGGAGTGTTGCTCCTGTTCCTGAGGGCAATGTGCAGCACAGAGCGGTTCTCCGTGAAGTTGATCTTCTCCCCTGAGAACATGGCGTCACGCATCTGCTCCACTTTGGTCGATTTAAGCTGGAAGTTAAGTCTAAATAGTTTTAGTAAGTGTTTTACGGCACTTGCAACACAATAAGGTCAGTAGTAGTAGTAGTAGTAGTAGTAGTAGTAGTAGTAGTAGTAGTAGTAGTAGTATAGGGTTTTACGGCGCTCGCAACTGCTAAGGTCATATAAGTGCCGAAGATTAGAGGTGTTACACGAGAGCAACAACCACAAAAAAGAAGGAGGGGAGATAAGGACGATAGATGCTTGATAGGAAAAAAGAAGAAAACCACACCAGAGCACCCGCCAATCACCCACTTAAGCTGGAAGGGACAACAATTTAATAGAAACCTTTAATGTTCTTGACAGAGAGAGAAGGAACCACCATCATCAATAACGAAAATCATTTCTGATATAGCAAACTTGACACAGCTATGTGTAACAATACCGCCTTGCTTCCGAGCATCAGCTCACTTGAAAGCTGATGTTGTCTATAATATAATGTCACTTTCCAACATAGTGTGTATGTGTGTGTGTGTGTGTGTGTGTGCGTGTGTGTGTGTGTGTGCGTGCGTGTGCATGTGTGCCTGTGCATGTGAGTGAGCATGTGTGTGTATGTGTGTGCAAGTGTGTGTGTGTGCGTGCGTGTGTGGGTCAGAAAGTGGAGACAAAATCAGACGGCAAAACATTGTTAAGAGCAGGAAAGGAGGTGAAAGGAGACAATTTTAGTGAAGAAAATGTTTTCCATCGCTACCCGGATTCGAACACGGGACATTTGAATGAGAGGCGAAGACCTTAACCTGTAGTCCACGAGAGCCCCCACAATCATATTTAATGGAAAATCAGAAGTAGTATTAAAATCAGGACAAAGTACATTCAGCTTGAATAAAAGAAAACAAATTCAATTGATCTCTCAATGAGAAGTTCTTCCAGCTGAAGCACAGGTGTAGTAAAAATTCCTGATATAGACGCCCCTCCCCGCCCCATCATCTCCCCCCCCCCCCCCCACCCCTTGAATTTTACACCAAGACAAAATGCTTATTTAACATGTCATGATAATGACTTTTCATGTCAATTTCTTACAGTAAAACTTTACTTTGATAAAACACCTTACCAGGTTCATGAGAAGTCCAAAAGCCTCTTCATTGATCAGGTTTTTGGAAAAGTCCACTAACAGTGGTCCTTCTTTTCCGTCAAGCTTAACACTGTTGATAGAAACAATAATATATGCTCAATAATAATAATAGTCATAATAATAAAAAAATTTACTATGCGTTTCCACTAAGAAAGTGCACTCTGCACTTTAAAATACAATAATACAAATAACACATGAACCACCATACACATCCAATAGTGATCCTTTCCCTCCATCACTCTCTCCCCATTGTCTCAGCACATACATGATGATTTAGAACAAACAGTCCCATGATGGATGAAAACTTGCACATACATCCATATTACAAATCGATGACAACACACAGCCAACTGTTACAGTACAGCATGAATAAAGAAATACACACACACACACACACACACACACATATATATATATATATATATTACATTATATAAATATATATTATATGATCAATTTTAAAAGTCTGCTTTTATTGCAGTTTCAAAACTATAGAGTAGGCCTAATAAAAAAACAAACAAGAGGCCTGTAGCCACCATGACCATTGTCCTTTTAGTAGATCTAGATCTAGATTACATCTAACAATTGTTTCTGACATTGTTTGCACAAAAGTAGACCTCTTGTTCATCTCCCATAATCATAATCATTTGAGTAAGAGTTTGAGCAAGTTTAAGTCGAAAGACGCTTGGATAACAATAACAAGACGGTGCAACTCGAACTTTAAAGTTAGGCCTACTAGTTAGCTGTCTACTGTCTATGTTCTCTTAAGTCTAATGTTCAGTGCTTCCAAGCGTGGCATCGAATCCCGGTGCCGGAAGGGGGGTTTTTTTCCTTCTCCTGAGCCTAAAATTTTATTTTTTTTTAAATATTAGACACAGACCAAGGAAAGCCACTACTTAACTTTAACCAGGCCTAAATTGGTAAAAGGAAAAGTATAGGCTATACTAAGGCCTACTTTGTACAGAGCTCCTCTTGGGGACAAAACCAGAAAGTGCATGCTTCATCACTACATAAAAACAACTACAAAGCAACAAGATATAATTATGGGAACAATTTGTTGGTCAGTCGAGAAGAGCACAACAACTAAAAAAAAAAAAGAACAAAAAAAAACGTCCAGGACCCGGATCGAACCCACGCTAAAAAAATAATGGTTTGACTTCAAGCGCAGACGCGCTGTCACTTCGGCCATCAGAACTTCCGATAACGAATGCAGATTAAGCTTAAAATTTTACACACTGCGTTTTATTTAGCACTGGCGCTAATCGCAACGCAGCGTTTTATTTAGCACTGGCGCTAATCGCAACATGGCGTTGCAAATAGACACTTCCAATAATTAACAGCAGGCCTATATCTGTCCAAGCATGTTGATGACCCATACCCTTATAACCTGATTTGGCTTCTGGAGACCTAAGCTTATCTAGTTAGAGAAGAAGCAATTAACGACCCAGGCCCAGTTTAGATATCCAGCGTTGTAACATGTTTTTCCTTAGTAATAGCAAGCAAGAGACAAGGCAACACTTTGACGAGAAAAGACTTAATTTATGGCTCACCTAAATTTCTGAAAGCGACGAGGATCATCACGAAACAACCGTTGCAAATTAAGTTTCTGCAAAGAACTCTCATGAAATTTCTTCAGCTGTACCCATTCCTTACTTCTTGACACTTTGGTAGCCATGGTGCAGAGTTCAGTGTAGGAATGACCTTAAAAATTGCAATAGAAAAATTTTGAACTTGTGTGGCTAGAACAGCAACTATAGAAAAGTGCACCCAGAGAAAGTGCCCCTGCTTATTTATGCCTCAAAGAACTTCAGGATCACTATCCTATGAGAGCCAGAGGCATACGTGTAATCACTATGACTTGCAATATTAAGCGACAGATCCCACCCGGGATGAAATAACACTTTTTGGCTCTCACGAATCCAACACCACCCGTTTTGATTTCATTCTTTTTTCTTTTTTTTTCAAGCGTCAACAAACGGTTCTTCTGGCCTCTGCTTTGGCTCTACCTGACTATCGCGACGGGAGTGCAGAGAGACGGTTGGTATGTTGACACAGGCCTGCTGAAGCCGACAGCTACTAATTTTAGCAGGAGTACAGGGATCTGGGGCTTGATTTATTGACAACGTGACCTAGATCTTAGCTACTTTATAAGGCCCTCGTCCAACGTTTTTGGGGGTGTGACACAAACAAAACTGACCTGAATTTGTCAAATCTGTTGGGGTCGGAGCCGAATAATTCAGGCATTCGGAGTTTAGAACCTTGACTTTCATAGAAGCTCTTCAGCTGGGCCCAAACGGGATCCTTGGAGAGAAATTGCCTGCCTGCCATTTCGCCGGACACTGCAGAAAGCTGATATCTAATCTAGGATGAACCGAGAAGCAATTAACAATGTAGACCGGCTTGCAACTCCGCTGCTGGGTCACTAGATCTACTCAGCCTACGAACACGTACGTGAACTCTGCCTTTCTAAGTTTCAGACTCAGACCCGTCCTTGAGTTCACGTCCAACCCAAAGGTCAAGGTAACATCTAAGGTCAATAAGTTGTGTGTTTGTCAAACTGGATCTTTAGCATTTCTCAATCTCTAGTGACAAGCTGGGATAAACGACAGCTATTTTTTACTTTTAGTCAGTTTTACCATCGATTCTTCCAAATAAAATGAATATAAACGCAACAGATGATTTTAGTCAGAAAACAAAAAAGAGAAGTTATAATAATGTTTATCTTTACTTTCGCTATTCTCATAATTCACCACTTTCTCATTTTTAAAGAATTTAGGGTACAAAGTAAATGATAATGAGGAAATAAAATCTCGATAAATGAGCTATTGTTGAATCCAAAACAACAGTAACACTCGCCTGTGCGTGTGAGACTGACATAGGCAAAGTCTCGCGTCAAATAATATTTGGCTAAATAACGTTTAAATAAAAGAAGTATTCCCCATTAGATCTCTACCTACAACCATTAGAAAGGGAAGCCGTAAAAAGAGTCAGCAATCCCTTGGCCTTGCTTATCTCTGCGCAATCTAGAAATTAGACAACAAGGTGTGTGTTAAACGTTGACTCACATTCACATCATATTTGTCACGATGAATCTTGATTTTGATCTGACAGATCTACTGAATAATCTTTTTTTTCTTTTTTCCTCGCAAGCCTCAAGCGAGTTAAGGAAAGAGTGGATGTTTATTTGTCTGTTTTTTCTGCTGTTGTTGTTTTCTTGTTTGTATGATGAGCTGAAGATCTCGACTCTAGACTCTAGATGTTTCCCTGGCCTGGGTTTTTGCTGACCTTCCTTCTGTTTTTGAGATGAAGATTTTCATGTTCAGTTTTTACATTCCTCTTTTAGTTTTGTTGTGTGTTTTTGTAATTCCTCTTCATCTGTATTTAATATACTCTGGTCATCAGCAATTTATAGAAGCTCATTCAGTTCAATGATGTCATTTTTTCTGCTTTCGTGATCTTATCCATGTAGGAATGTAGGCCTAAGTGATGAAATGAAGAGAAGCTGAGAGAGAACACACCCTTGTCTCACCCCACACCTGATGGGGAACCAGTCTAATAGCCCTTCTCTGTTGATCTTACGGCACCCAGACTGTTTTTGTAAAGTGCCATTCCTATGTTCTCCAGCAATTGTCCTCTTACACCGTGACCATATTCCTCTATAACTCAAAGACTTCCCAAAGTTGACATCTATCTACCCGCTCAAACGCCTTCCACGAAGATGATATTGAGGTCTTTGTCATGTGCAATGGCAATTTCACACAACTGTCTTTAATGCAAAAATAGCGTCAGTACAGCCCCTGCTGAGTGGGTGGTTGGCGGGTGCTCTGGTGTGGTTTGCTTACTTCTTTCCAATCAAACATCTGTCGTCTTTATATCCCTTTTTTCTTTTTTTGTGTTTGTTACTCGCTTATAACACCTCTAATCTTCAGTACTAATATGACCTTGCCTTAAATTGTGTTGCCAGTGCCGTAAAACAATTAACTAAAACTAAACAGCCCCTGCCTTTTCTGAAGCCAAATTGGGATTCACTGAGTTGAGTCTCTACAATTGGTCTCATTCTCATTTCCAGTATCTTGGCAAACATTTTGCCCTCATGGCTGAGAAGGGATATTCCTCTGTAGGTTCCACAGTCTCTTTTGTTACCTTTCTTTTTCCAAGTAAGTACAATGACAGCTCGTTACCAGTCACCGGGTGTTGTTTTTGTCACCCAGGCCAGGTTAAATATCCTCCATAGCCAGAGTTCAGTTCACCGATATGGTCGCATAGCTTGCTTGTTCTCTTCTGCTGAATACAATGATATGTAACGGCAAGAGGGAAGAAATCATTCAGAGATGGAAAGCTATAAATTTTAGGCAAAGGAGAGTAATTGATTGATCTAGATTTTGAGGTGCCCAATTGAATGATGAAAATGGCGTGCTTTATCAAATGAGGAAGAAGCCATTGTGACTGGTCATTAAACTTTAGAACCACTCTTTGCTCGCCATAAGTTATCTCACATCAACAAAACTTGCTCAGTCTGAAAAGACCTTTTCATGCTTAATAATAATACAAGGGATCATGTCAATTCTTTTCACAGTTAAGAGAGATCATAAAATAAGATAAGATACGCCTTTATTGTCTAGATCCTGGCACATTGGTTTGATGTTTAACCATATGCACACACACACACACACACACACACACACACACACACACACACACACACACACACACACACACGCACACACACACACTCACACACAAACATGCATTCACACGCAGGCTTACATAAATTTATATAATATAAATGAGCAGCAATAAAAAATAATAATCTTAAGCTAGAGATACATACTCAATGTTATTCTGATGCATGCTCTTAGATCTTATGAATACTTATAACAAGATTGTTCAGATGGAAGAATGATGATGGATAATCACATTATTATCAATTGCGAGCCTGTCCATGAGTCACAGTTGATTCTTCCCCCTGAATTTGGCTGAGAATAAAGATCCGGTTAGCTAAAGGCCCCACCTTTTCCTTGCTCCACTCCCAAGCACTAGGGTTCTAGTCGCGGAGACTAGGGTAATTTCTAATACCTCGGTTCATCTCCCACATCTTATGTTTTGCTTCAAGTAAAACTACCCAGATTTTATCAGTTGGTATTTCTGTTAGGACTTCAAATACTTCACATAACAATTTGACTTTGCCTGACTTCTTTAGACTATGATGATCATCAAAAATAGTTATTTCTGAGTAGGATATTAATTTTGGGGTACAGTGATTTCAAGATTTATATAACATGAATTTGCAAATGGTTTCTTTTGTCAGCCTTTTATAACAAAGAATGTTTGTTAATGCTTCAATTTGCAACAGCCCAGAGCTGAAGATGGTAGACCTCAAGACTACCAATTGGCCTTTAAACCTTTTTTTTTTCAAGTGAACATTTTTGTTCAAAAAAGAGGTATTTACCAGGCTGGTAACTTATCATTTATTAGCTTTTCATTTGATAATAATAATAATGATAATAATAATGAACACTTTATTGATCCTGAGGAGGAGCTCAAGCAAGGAGCACGAACACCGTAGCTCCTGCGAGAACCTTGTTTATTCATTAGATCCTTCATTGTGGGTTTGCAAAATACTGAGGAAGTATTCTAAAAATAGCTGTTCCCACACCCTAGGTAGATTGAAAGAGAGGGGGATCCAAAGAGGAGAAGGGAAACACAGCCATCTGTGCGGACCCGTCCGACGGATCTCCAACCAGATTATGATGGGGACTATAAGCAGACAGACTCTGGGATGGATCCTTAAGAGGGGGGGAGAGCAGAGATAGACATGTTCTGACTGTAGTGACTCCAACACTGTGGACAAGGTGTGACTTTATTATCAAAATTTGACATACAACAGCAAACATACACACATAAATACATATGGACATAAATATACGTGAAAAGAATAGCAAATATACAATATTACACCAATGCAGACAACTTTGAAAGTTTATTGTGTTTGATCAGTAAAATAGTATTGTGACTAATATTTTTTTAAATTTCAGAATGAAACTCATGGGCTTGCAGAAGGCCCGGTCCAAACCACCTTGGAGGGTTTTTTTCTTTGGCACTGATGATTTTTCCCTGAAAACATTGCAATCTCTCAATGAAAATATGTAAGTAGAGAATCCTTTTTGGATATTGTAAGAATAAAATGTAAGGTTGTTTAGAGGTGCATCGTAAGATGAGATCACTTGTTTGTTCATTTTGACAGACAGTGTCTCTCCTTCATTTTATTTCTACAGTTGTTACATTTGTAGAATGCAGTTACATGCTTACAACTGGAAAGTCGTTGCATGATTTCAACAAAGAGTCAAGTTGTGTGATTCTTTCTCACTGTACTCCCTTACTGAATTCTAGGTACTTTTAATTAACTGAAATGGTGGGAAAATATGTTTAATGGATTGGAATATTACGTTTTAGATTTTACGCCTTTGGCCCATACTTTATCATTATAAGCACCTGCCTGTAAATTTGATTTCATTAGCAGAATTTTAGCAATATTAAAAGACTTTATATATATATATATATATATATATATATATATATATATATGCTATGATGATATTGCTTTTGACATTGTCACAAAGAACTCATTTTCTTTACTGTTTATATCTTTCATCTTCAATTTTTAAAGTTTATCACAGAAGACTCCCATTTAGGCCTGTACCAAAATTTACACCTCCCCTCGACGTCTAAAGATACGAGAGGAAGAGAAAAGTAAAACTAAGGTTGAAATGTTGGCTTTGCCAATGGTTTATTTTTCTAACTTTTATTTTTTTATTCCATTTTACAGGATGATGCCATCCAGTGGACGTCTGGTTGACACTCTGGATATTGCCCATCCAAGACTGAAAAAACCGGTACACTACACATAGACAGTAAAACCCAGATACTACTAACTTCATGAGACTAGATAATTTCCTTGTGTTAAGTAGCTTTCATGTTAAGCCGAGTGCCAAAGAAAAGAACGAGAAAGGGAAAGAGACTTCCTTCTTACTGATCAGATCAGATACAACACGGCCTTGTGAAACATATGTTTAGTCATTAATAACACATGCAATTTTGTTTTATTAGGTTTTGTGTTAGACAAAGTGTCTGTATTCATTCGTGAATGTTTCATTGTTCTCTGACTTGGAATGTACACCCCTGTTCTGAGTTTTTATAAGAGCGTGTAACGTTGTAAAGACAAACCTTAAATCTTAGTTCAGTCACTTCATATCAAGTTGTTGATTCACCCATCATTTGAATGGTATGTAATGTTGTAGAATAACGTAAGGAGTTTGCTCATTTTCTGACTTACAAAATTTACTTCTCTCATGAGCTCATTTTTTTTGTTACATCTGTTACTTAGCAGAGACTCATATTTTACATGAAACTTGTACTTGTGTTATCTTAGGTGAAGGATCCAGCTCAAACTTTCCTTGCTGTTTTTAACTAAACCACTCAACTTTGAAGTCAGGAAGTCATAACAAGTTCTGTCGTGTTCTAAATTGCAGAGCCCCGTAAATCGCTATGCAGAAATGTGTGGACTGACACAGTACCAGTGGCCTATAAGGGGTCTTGACAAACAGTATGATGTTGCTGTCCTGGCCTCATTTGGACACCTCATACCAAAGAAACTGGTTGATGCTTTTCCTTAGTAAGCCTTGCAGTTTTCTTATATATCTTAGAATGGGTACAATGTTGCTCAATAAATAATGATAAACGAGACTATGATGTGAAGAGCATAAGTCCTTGGAGAGTAACTTTTTAAACTTTTCTCTCTTCTGAGAGTTTTTTCATCAGTGACCTTCATTTTTGCAAGGGGCTTATCACTCATAATTACTCTCTTGCATGCTTCCTCTCACTAGTACAAAAGTGTACAGTATGCCTTTGAATGCTTGAATTTTGACGTTCAGCTTGGATTTTCCTCTTTTGATTTGGAGAAAGAGATATTACCATCTTGAGGACATGGAGCCAAACAAATGATTAATAAATACTAAGCACAACAATGAAATCCTTTATAATATTGAGTAGCTTATGAACACTTCAGATACCAGCCTCAGACTCAAAACTACTAACGGTGTCTGTGGCACAATGGTTAGCCTTTTCACTGTTGCATGCAAAAGACAGGAATTCTATGTCCACGGGAAGGAGTCTGTTTTAATAAGTCAAGTATCTCTGCCTGCATTTCATCCAGTTTGGGGATTTTTGGGTGCCATTCTGGGTTTTATAACACTTTTTTAATCATTTACAGTCATATTGACTCTATATGTTAGTCAAAACTGAGTTGAATAACTTAATGGTCAGCATGATGCAATGGCTGATACACTTACCTGAAAAATGTCATGAGCTGAGGTTTTCAAAGGATTGTGCATTTTCCTCTTCTTTTCTTGAAACTTTATAGACAGATCTTAACAAAAGAGACCCTCTCAAATGAAAGGACCTGTTGAAAGGAAGAGTTCAGTGTAAACAAAACACAAATTTGGTGGTAAACTTTTCAATTCAGAACTTTTTCCTATAACGTTCTTGCATTTCCTACACTAAATGCATGCTTTTTCAATCTTATGGCATTTACTATTCAGCGGGATCTTGAATGTCCATCCAAGCTTGCTGCCTCGGTGGAGAGGTGCTGCCCCTCTACACCACACGGTGCTGAATGGAGACAGTAACACAGGAGTCAGTATAATGTCCATCAAACCAAGGCAGTGAGTTCTGTTTTTCTTTATTTGTGAGGGAAGTCCAATGCAGATGATGATTTTTTTTTCGGAGGTGTTTTTTTTTTCCGGAGGTGTTTTTTTTTTCAGATGTTTGGTAGTGTGGCAGTATTCTTTTTCCTCCTAAATTGTACAATTACAAATAGGAAGGTCAGATGTGAAGCCATGTCCCCTTTCACAAAAGTTGCAATCATTCTGACTTCTTTATTTGGGGTCTCAAGGGTTCTCCAGTAGCTCCGTCCCTAACAACAAGAAGTCAAAGCATTGTATTTCTGTATGTCGTGTGTGTGTCGTAGTGTGTGTGTAAGCTAGTGCAGGCGGTACCGACGAAACCCAGTGCCGGTACTTTCCAGGCACTGGGTGTCGAGAACCGCCCGTACGGTACTGTACACCAGGAGGTGACATTTAAGACTGATGCGTCTCGCGTGTAGCGCCGCCCGCATCCCACCCCCCCCCCCCCCCCCCCCGCACACACACGCACACACCCACACACATACACACACAAGTCAGAATTGGAGGGGCGAGCTGTGACGCAGTAAGCTTCCTGGGAAGCCAAAAATGTTTCTGAGAGTTCTAAGATCTGCTTGGGTAATGATAATTGTAGAGCACACAAAGCATACCATAAAGTATGGATGTGCGCTGTATAACTGCAATTATTTTTATTATTATTATTATTATTATTGTTATTACCCTTATGATCTTTATTAACGTAACGATTTTTTATCTTTGATCTTTCTTTATATGTATCTGTCTATTGTGATGTTGTTCATGCTCTATTTTGTGGAATTTTATGATAAATGCTTTGATGAAAGAAAGTGACAATATTTTATTAAAATGAATGTTTCTTTTTCTTTGGCATTTTTATAGTGGAACAAATGGTATTATTTCTCCAGTTTCGATATTGGCCCATTGTTACAGCAAAGACAAATTGCCCTCCCTTCAAGACCTACGTTTAGCACTCTGAGAGATACTCTTGCTTTTGAGGGAGGAAAGATGGTAAGTTCTTGCCCCTTTCTTGGAATTTTATTCAGAATACATGAGCAATGACATTTGAGTTGGGGGTTTTTTACAAGTCAAAATGGAGATGCTTGTCTAAAGTGCCAGACACATTTCAAGATTCTGTTACTGTTATGGGGTGACAGCAACATTGTCAATAGAGCCAGGTCAGGAAAATATGCTTTTTGCTTCTTAATTCATTCTGTGAACTTTTACGAATAAATAGCTATATATATATTAAAGTCTATTTTCAGTTACCTTCTCAAGCAAAAAGAATTGTATTACATGGTGTATAATTATCTCCACCCACCTCACCCCAAATCTCTTCCAAAACACACAAAAACCTGAAACCCAAAGTGGGTGGAGGGTGCTCTGGTGTGGTTTGCTCTCTCTTTCTTATCAAACATCTGTGGTCCTTATCTGTTCTCTCCTTTTTACTGGTGGTTACTCTCTTGTATCACATCTAATCTTCAGCATTTATACGACCTCATTGTGTTGCAAGTACTGTAAAACTCTTACTATAACAATAACAAAGAAAGCCATCCGGGCATTGCCTACCTTTACCATATCATATCCTAATGATGCAGTATTTTCAGTAAACTAACATCTATTGTCCTTATTCCCCCCTTCTTCTTTTTTATGTTTGTTGCTGTTGTTGTTGTTGTTAGCGATCCAGTAGCATCTGAGCATTAACTCTTCTGCATGATGCCATTCGGTAATAGTTGCATGTTTGTTCTAACTGTTGTCTTGAGGAGTAGAGGCAATTAGATGTGTGGGGTAGCTTGGGAAGAAAACAACCCCTTAAATCAGTTAGTTTTCTACAGAAAAACAGATGATGTTCCACTGTCTCTGAGGGGTAGTCACATAGTGGGCAGGCAGCAGACTGCTTTACTCCAATTCGGTTGAGATGTTGGTTGAGGGGTACATGTTGTGTTCTAAGTTGGAAGATTATGGATTGATCTCCCCTCCTCAACTCATTGATTGGATCTTTGACCAGTGGTTTATTCATGTGGCCATACATCCTCCTTCCTGTCTTACCTGTGGCCCAATCATTCATCCACTCTTCCTTGAGATTTGACTTGATCATTTGGCAGCAGGTGGTGTAATTCGTAGGAATTTCAGGCTGAGGGAGACTAGCTCCTTTCTTTGCCAGAGCATCAGCTCTTTCATTTCCTGGTATCCCAGTGTGGGCAGGAATCCATTGTAGGACTACTCTGACGTGGTGCCCACTTATCAAGTTATGTAGACTCCAAATCAAATGCAATATATCTTTGTTCACATCAGTCCCACTCTCAAGTGTCTCTAGTGTTGAAAGGCTGTCTGTATATATAACGATGTCTGTGGTAGCAAGTGGGTTAGTGTCAAACAAGTAGTTGATATGATTGTTGCTCTCTTGTAACACCCCAAATCTTCTTGTGCTCATATGACCTTATGCAGTTACAAGCGCCGTAGAACCTCTACTAAAACTTAACTAATGTATTTTCATTTTCAAAGATGAAGATGTGGTGATTTTTCTGCAATAAAAGAACTCTTTTTTTTTTCCCCTTAGATTATTGAGTTGCTGCGTGAGTTACCAGAGGCGGTGATAGGAGAGGCAAGTCAGGACAGTGAAGGCATCACATATGGTAAGACGATTGAGTGAGACCTGGACCTAAAAATATGTTGCTGATGATATCATGTGGAATATGGAGAGAATATTTTCAGCAGTTCAGTGCTTTGTTTTCCATGAGGGCAATCACGTTGTGGGTTATTAATTTTTCTTTGAAGTTTACAGTACCAAAGTCTTTTGGAAGGAACAAAAGTTGTTTTTGGGGGGAAATCTATGATCAACCTGGGAATGTCAGATTTTGACTGTATTTTACTCAAACTTTTGAAAATTATTCATTGTTTCCATAATATTTTTTATGTACTTTACCCAGCACACAAGATCACACAGCAAAGGAGTTTCATTGACTGGGAAAACCAGACTGTGGATGAACTTGACCGGCAATACCGTGCTCTCTTTGAAACAGTAAGATATATATATTTCTTCTCTCTTTGCAACATAAATATTTTTTAGCTCTGAAAAGAAATTCTAGTCAGGTGATTTCACCTCTGAAAGTATCAGAATGGGAACAAACATTAGTCTGACAAAAATATTTTTTCTCTTACTGAGAAGCATTCTGCAGACAAAGATTTCTGGAGACCCAAAACTGTCTCTTAAAGGAAAAACAAGTTTATACGAGGGGCAGTGATCACCTGTACGTGTGCTGAACCAGGTCGATTTACATATTTTATGTGCTGTTGGCGCTCACTCCTCCTATATATAGCCACTGTAAAGGTAACTGTCCCAAAGAGCACACTGCAGTGGGACACGCCCTTCTGGCTACTCATGTTGGTGGCAGAGTTCACTGCTGTTGGTGATCAGGTATCTTTTCAGAGAGTCAGGTACAGACCTTTATACTTTATAAATGAACTGTGTCACATTTTCATCAGTCTTCTGAGACACTTAATAACCAGCACAAGTGGAAATAACATGGAATAAGGATAATTGATCGCTTTTATGGACAGGCGGGCTAGCCCAGATTTAGGGGGTTTCCAGAAATCTGGATCTGCACCAAAAGTGGGCATTGCCCTACCTATAGGGGAAGTTTGGTTTCTTTGTTGTGTATATTTGTTTGGTTAAAGAGAAAACCGTTCCTTGTCTTTTAATGAGACTGAATAAGGATAAAAAAATGTTTAACTTCAATTTTCTCAAAACAGCATTTATCAGGATAGCCCACTAGTGCTTAAAAGCGACCAGTTATGACCTTAGTAATGTACTTCAGCACTGTTTGTTCCCTGGGAGAGAGAGATAGCTAATAGAATATGTTGTAATGATGTAAGAAAAATATATGTGGCGTACAAGAATTGTGTACGTAGATAAATTATGCATGCAAGATCATTTACAAAGTTTGTGTTTCTAGGGGCAAGCAAGTTTCCCCATTTTCGTCAGCCTAGTAAACTTGAACCTTTTAATACTTCCAATTAAGGATTTAAAACACTTAATGACTTAATGTATGAAAAGATGTTCCTTGTAAGTTTTGGAAAAAGTCTGACTGTTCCCTTTGTTGGACTTTGCCATGCAGACAGAACTGAGAACAGACTGGGAGGGCACCACTGTCAGGATGCTGGATATGGCTGCTCCCAGCTTGGACCCATGTAAGGTTCAATAAGATAAGATAAGATAAGATAAGATGAGCTTAATCTTTATTCTCCAGATGCTGGGCTGGCACATTGGTTTGGTAATCCACCACACACACACACAGACACACACACACACACATAATATTTTATTTGGAACCCTTCTACTTCTACTGTCTATTTGGCATGTTATTAATAACTTAGCTTTGAAGAAAAACAACCCACTTTACAGTGAAATAAAAATTAATATAACAAATACAGCACTTTAAAAAAATCAAGGGGGTGGCTACACCTCGAAAGTTCCGATTCGGCTCAACACTTTGGATTTTAAGTTGTAGGCATTTTTAGCTTCTTCTGCCTCTCTTACAACTATTTCATCGCATAAGAACACCCTAAAGCCTCATTCCTTCCCATACCGGGCATGTTTGTCTCCACCATTTCCTCATAAAGTTAATCTTTTATTTGTCTTTATCGCCCGTTTTCTCGAAACATGGTTTTTTTATTTAATACTTTTTTTAATAATTAAACTCCACCATTTTTCATCCAATCTTCTTGAAATTTTCACAGAATGAAGAAAATATTGTAATATTAAAAATTTGTGTGATGAGTTTTTGATATATGGAATAGTTTTTTGTTGGTGGTGTTTGGAGTGTTCACAGATTTTTTGCAAACGCGAATACTACCTCAGGAAAAAATTCATTAAAAATGTTCTAGTACTTTAGGAAACATTTATCTCTCAGATTTTTAGGTCTATTGTTTGCCAAGATGCATACAATTTATTTCCATGAAAAATAAATGCGGTATTAATTATGTAAGACATGTCAACAAAATTCGATATGGCCACCGTATCCATGGAAACGAAATTTTTCTCAAATTTGATTGCGGATTTTTAGACTCCTTACTATGCTTGTTACATGTGTGAAATTTGGTTACATTTGATCCACCAATAAGCGAGATAGCCTTCAGCTGTGCCCCCCCCCCCCCCCTCCCCTCTTAACATCTACTTCGTAAAATGGGCTTTGGCTGATATCCAATAGAACTTGTTCATTTCTTAATTGAAAGATTGGTTTTATGCAAATTTTCCTTTTATTTTGTTTGTCATTGATAGGGGAAAAGAGGCACTCCATTAATGGTCACCTTAGAAGAATGGCTGATGTATACAACAAGCATTCCTATAGCCTCATATGAAAGTAAAAAAGAATTTACAGCAGCTGCCCTGCGTGCATTTTATTTATAGAATCATATCCCAACTCTTTGGTGTGAGGTTTTTATAATTATTATTATTTTTTTTTTTTTTTGTTATTATTATTATTATTGTAATTATGATTATTATTATTATTATCATCATTATTATTGTTATATTATTATCATTATTATTATATTATTGTTATTATTATTATAACAATATAATAATGATAATAATAATTATAAGAAGAAAAATTGCAATACAGCCCACATCCAGCATGCTCTAAGCACTTTACAACTACTTTTTTCTAAATATATGTTTTATTTAACTTTTTAGTATGCGTTTTACTGCACTTGCAACATAATTAGGTCATATAAGTGCTGAAGATCAGAGGTGTTCCAGAGAGTAACAAACACAAAAACGAAGGAGGGGAGATAAAGACGATACCTGTAAACTGTAAACTTGTTTGATAGCTAACAAGGAGCAAAGCACACCAGAGCACCCGCCAACCACCCACTATATTTCTTTCTATGTCCAGGTGTAGACTTGGATTCCTCAAGTCCCCCTGGTCTTCCTGTGTATGATAAAAAGAACAACGTCCTGTGGGTTCGCTGCAAGGTTGGTACTACTACAGTGGAAACCATATATAACAGGCCCGGTAATAACAGGGATCCGGTTATAGCAGGGATTTTTAAAATCCCTGTTTTTTCCTACTCTTTGTCTCTTTTAAAAGTTATCGGCAATAACAGGGCCTCAACAGAGCCCAACCGGTTATAGCAGGGACAAATGCTCGTTAACAATGTGTAAAAAGTAAGAGAGAGAGAGAGAGTAACGCCAAGCCCACACAAGCCATGCCACTGCAAGCACACACAGCATGTGAAGCGAGAGAGGGCTGCGGTATGCTGTAGACCTCGATCTAGCCCGAAACCTGGCAACACGCACGCGTAATGTGTCACCAACGATGTCAAGCACAAGAGAAAATGCCTTTCAATTGACAAAAAAATCGATATAATCCAGGCTGTTGACTAAAAGCAAGCTCCACTGGCAGAGATTTGTCGCCAGTTCGACATTCCACAAGGGTTGATTCACACCATTATCAAGGATAGAGTGAAGATAGTGGCAACATACTCCAATAGAACGTTTGCTCTGAATCGAAAGAAGATGAGACTACCCGATGCAGATGCTGTGGACCAAGCTCTTCTGATGTGGTTTAAGGAGGCAAGGAGAAAGTTGGTGCCAAAACCCCTGTTCCTTGGTGCCTGTGGCAAAGGAAACTACCCATGAATAAGTACAGCTGGATTAGTCCGCAAATGCTTAGTTTCCTTGCATTTTTTATTTAACAGGGATCGGATATAACAGGACATTTTCTCTACTCCCACCATCCCTGTTATATCAGGTTTCCACTGTACTTATTGAGTATTGTGAAGTGAAATTACATTCTCTCACAAGAATGAAAATGTTTCGTCGTGTTTCTCTTTTGCAACTGAGTTAGGGTTTTTTTTTAGAAGCTTGTTTGTAGACAGCATGATAAAGAGACTAGTGTATCTGACTTCATGGCTGAGATTCCCTTATGTTTGGTCCAAATTTGTCATTTTTACTACAACTACTTTGAATTATATAATTCATATGTCTCAATTTTAGTTTGTCAGCAGCTGTCACTGATGTGAAAATAGGAACACCAATGAAAGAGTGGTTTTCTGTTAAAAGATAAAAATTCTTCTTGATGCTTGATAGATGATAAATAGATCTATATATGATATGTAGTATTATTCTGTTATGGGCACTGTTAATAAAACAATGACTTTGTTGTTTAGAGCCGTTTATGACAGAGACAACAGAACTTCCTCTTATTCTTATTATTAACCCTATCCGTTCGCCCTGGGGTCATTTTGTACCCCTGTGGTTGTATTCTTCATATTTTAGAATACTTGTAGTACGGAGATCTCTTTAAAACTTTCAGTATTTCTCACAAAATCATTTTGACAGACTGCTATGCAAAGCGTACGGATCGGATTAACAAGTAAATTTCCTCTTTGGAAGTGGTGGCGCAGATTCCCAAAGTCGTATGGATACGGTAGAAAAACTCGATGTACGGATAGGGTTAAGTGGTGGCGCAGATTCCCCACGTCGTATGGATACGGTAGAAAAACTCGATGTACGGATACGGTTAAGTGGTGGCGCAGATTCCCCACGTCGTATGGATGCGGTAGAAAAAATCGATGTACGGATAGGGTTAAGTGGTGGCGCAGATTCCCCACGTCGTATGGCTACGGTAGTAAAACTCGATGTACGGATAGGGTTAAGTGGTGGCTCAGATTCCCCACGTCGTATGGCTACGGTAGTAAAACTCGATGTACGGATAGGGTTAAGTGGTGGCACAGAGTTCCCCACGTCGTATGGATACGGTAGTAAAACCCGATGTACGGATAGGGTTAAGTGGTGGCACAGAGTTCCCCACGTCGTATGGATACGGTAGAAAAACTCGATGTACGGATAGGGTTAAGTGGTGGCACAGAGTTCCCCACGTCGTATGGATACGGTAGAAAAACTCTATGTACGGATAGGGTTAAGCAAGGTATTATTGCAGACACAGAAGGCCTGAAAGCAAAGCAAAGTAGATAGCTCCAAATTTACTTCTCAGACAACAAATAGTGCTTGCTAGATGATTTATGCGACAGTTTATGTTATGGTCTGCGTTGGTTGAACATCCCATTTTAAAGAAGTTTAAATATTTATTTATGAAACAGGAGAGCTCTGATTTACTGTTTTATCTTCAATAAAACTGAGCCAAGTACCTGGAGACCCATGGCAACTACTCCGATAAGCCAATGTTCGAAAATCCATTGTGAGCCTGAGCCAGGGTCGCTGGCACTGCCATTCAGCATGTAGTCATTAGGAAGCATGCACCTATCTTCACACATCTAAGCACGTAGTATAAGTTCTAGCAGTTCCAATGGTGGAATGATCTGAAAATAATCTCGTGAAGTGCAGTTTTTCATTTGTTGTTAGCATTTTTCTGTTGAAAGGAATAAGGTTTGCAAGTTTTTTTATCAATTTTTTTTGCAGACTTTATGATAATTATTCTTTCCATTTTTTTTTTTTTGTAATACTATTTGTTGTCTTTTTCAGGATGGATGGACTGGCTTTTTCAGCATTTTAATAAAGAAAAAAATGTCAGCCAAAGCATTCTACAATGGATATCTTTCCAAGAAGCATTTAAAAGGAGTGTGTTTTAAAAGCATTCCCAACCATTTATTTGATGAACATTACTGGCAGTGGATTAGAGATCCACGGCCGTCATGATATTCACTACGTTATTTGTAGGTAGCACTTATTGTAACTGATTTTATTGTTATGATATAATATAATATTTTTTCATTTGTAATGCTGAGGTGTATTCCAAAATAAAGCAGCTGATGTTTTTTGCAGATAGTTCACCCAGTGTTTTGTTTAATGAGTTTTACAAGCTGCGTAGAATGCATGCCAACTGTTGTGGGTGGTGCGGTTGTTTAACTCTTTATCTCCGCGGAGGGTGAACCCACTAGGCCAGGTCCCTTTTTTGGTACAGTCCGCGCCGGCTATAAGCACGGTCGTCGGGAGAAAGCTTAAGCGTGCTTAAAGCCGGCACGTACTGTACTCAATCTAAAAATGACAAAAACATCACTTAATGGGTCATTAAATCAAAACAAGTCAACCAATTTTGATAGTTCTTCATCTAACCAATGAACTCCTAATAAAAAAAAAGATCTGTTTTCCGCAGTTGCCGACAAGTAATTTGATATCCAAGTCGTCGTAAAGGAATGTGCCCGAGCCACTGTCAGCTGCTCACCGGCACAGTGGTTCCAACTGTGAGCCACTGGGAGCGGCTTGGCGGAGATAAAGAGTTAACTTGTACTTGCACTATGGCAAAGGGAAGACTGAATTTGAGTTGGGTCCTAGCTTTACTGGAATGATTCCTCTCAAATCGGTGTCTTGTTGAGGGGATGAAGTGCTCTTTCTTTGAAATGACATACACTATATCTTGTACGGTATAGTGATAAACTTCAACAACAGTAAATGGCATGCACTCCGTTCGATTTGTTTCTGTCAAAATGAATTGAGTGCCATCAATTGTGTTCATAATGGATGCCATACTGCAGGTCATGAAAATGATTTGATCAGCTATGAGTTGAGTTTGAGTAAAGAGAAACACATTGATAAGACTAGTGTATCACAGAACAGGAAAGAAGGGGAGAGGGATAGTTAACAATGAATCAAGACAAGCCACAAAGCTAAATGCATGAAAATCCTCACAAATCAATGTCACAAGAAATTCAAAAGAAACAAGACTTTATTTCAGCAATACATTTACATCTTAGGATACAAAATGTCAAAATGAGACTGCATCTAATAAAAATGGTGGAATAGAATTAGACAAAAATATAGTTTCATAGACAAACAAGATATGGATGAAGTCAAAGATTTCTAATGAGTCTGACAAGAAAATCTTTGAATTGTTGGGAGGGGTGCACTTCGGCCTACATTCACAGCTTTGCATTCAGACACTGGAACATGAAGTCATCTGAAATTATTAGTAAGTCAATACTTTTCCTATTTCCGTCCCAAAAAGACAAAAAATGGTCTCGTTGGCATCATATCCATCTTATCAACAGGCCCTACATCTTTTGTAAAGGAAATGGCTCCAGAGATGCATGATAGAGATGTAAATGAGAGTGGAATCAATGTTGTCTACATCTGCTCAAACATGGACAATGAAAGTTTTGATCAATAACCCTCACAAACCCATTAACTCTCATCATAGCTGCCTCGCCACTAACATCAAATGACACTCTTCTGTACATGACATGTACTTACTTTACTTTACTTTTTACTTTTTCATCCTCTGTTGCCGTTAAGCGTCGAGGGGAGATGCAGTTTTCTATTGTAGGCGAGCTCCGCAGCTCTTTCAGTTGTGATGTTATGTTTTCTTAGGGTATCCTTGACACCCTCGATCCACCTTTTGCGTGGCCTTCCTCTTCCTTTATAGCCTGAGTGCTTGGTGTTGTAGGCTCTCAAGTACATGACATGTAATAGTAGTAATATAATAAGAAGAATAGTTCCACCCTTGCCATGCATTCCTTTCTTAGACATCGAAAGGCTTCAATAAGTTGTGGGTATGTTTATACATTAATACAGTGGAACTCGGATTCAAAGAAATCATCAGGCCTGACCTTCAATTCCGTTGAATCCAAGTGTTCGCTATAGCACATTTCAAAATATGGCTTACACCACTGAAAATCAAAACCAAAAAATAATCCCAGAGAAAAGAAATGTTCACACAGGTCACCAATTCAAGGGATGGTGAACCGTTCAAAAGGACAAACAAACACAGTTCAGTAGAGTAAGCTTTCATATCAAGACAAACGTTTTAAAAATTGGTCAAATCAGCACCACATGATCATCAACATCATGCATGATGACATTCTCCAGTCAAATGGAGATTCAATCCTAGGCTAAAACAGCACCTGGACATGGATGGCTGGTGCCTCTATAAATAAATCATTGATGGTCAGGGTCAGAAGATTCAATCAATTTACTTATACTTTGAGGTGGGAATGTTATAATAGGCAAGACAAAGACATGCAGGTATGACTTTCTTATACTTGTTTTAGTAAGGTTTTACAGCGCTCGCAACTGCATAAGGTCATATGAGCGCCTAGCAGTGGATGTCAACAGAGAAGTCTAAACAGGGAATCAGGCTTACTTTGCTCACCTCTCTAGCCTCAACAGCACAAAGCCTGCTTCGACTATCAAGGCAACCCGGAAATAGCTGTTCACAAGAGAGTGACAAACATACAAAAGAAGTAGAGGAAAAATGACGATAGTAGGCATGAGGAAATAAAACGCAGCAGTTCCCCCTACGCTGTTCCGGCACAGTATAGTATGAGCATGACATTGATAAATCTGCCCCTTTACAATCGTGTCATTCCGAAATTGAGAGAGTGCAAAATGTAGTTATGCAACAAAATGAGTCGCTTGTTCCACTACACTGTTTCGAGATCTCGGGTGAAACCTTGACTTTCTTAACCCCTTCACTGCTGAAAAATTTCCATCACCATCTGTACCTACAAGATTAAATGTTAATTCAAGGAATATTTAAACACAGAGAATTGTTTCAGTATAGGCAAAATCACAAGCTGTAACTAAAACAACAAAAACTTTTGTCAACGAGATGAAACAATATGAGTGGAGAATACATGCCAGAACATACGTCTACCCAGCAGTGAACAGGTTAAAATAAAGTCTCTGACTTCCCAACTTCAGATAATTATTATTTTGAAATCAAAGTAACATGACCACTAATATACTACTAGTTCCATCCCATATGTCAGGGTTGGAATATAACATCTTTAATTTGCGTCACAGCGCTGTGGAATCGGGCTCTCCTCAATTTTTGGACATGAAGAGTTAAATTAGTGTCATCTTTAAGCTTGTTAACTTGTCTTGCCTTAGATGAAAAAATATCCATTTACCTTGAACACAAGTCGAAATATTTGCAAATGAAGGAGGGGGGGGGGGGGGGCACCCAGTTTTGGAGGTAAAATTACTGAGAAAATGTCTATCAAAGATTAGTTATTTCATTAGCTTGGGAGTCCGTGGGAACTGAAAATTTACATTTTTTGTGCATTTAATCAACGTTTCTCAGTAAAATCCACACAGAAATGTATTCTTTGATGGGCATGAAAGGTGTTGAGCCAAAAAACGAAATTTCGATAAAAATCCACAAACCTCTGGAAAATAATGCCATTTTCTTCACATTGATTATTTTAACAAGCGCCTGTTTTCACCACGCTGCCTCACATTTTCTATCAATATATTATCAAAATGAAACAAGGTTATCGTTTTGTCATGTTACTTAACAAATATCTTTCCCATAGACTCTTCTTGTTGTAAAAAATTGTTTTGCCTCTTTTTGAATACACAGAACTTGTTAATGGGAAGAGCGACACTCAGTTTGGCCGACTTTGGCTCAAGCTATGCAAATTGAGGGGTTGGCTGATTTTAAAGATCATCCAGTTTTTTGTCTAAAAATTATAGCAAGGAGACAATTGAGAAAGTGTTTATTCTCGTTGTAAATTGCCTTTGCAAACATGAGGATGGGCTGTTAAAATATAGTGTATTTGGGGGCTCTCGTGGCCTAGAGGTTAAGGTGTTGGCCTCTCATTCAAAGGTCCCTGGTTCGAATCCGGGTAGCGACCGAAAAATGTTCTTCTCTAAAATTGCCTCCTTTCACCTCCTGTCTTGCTCTCTAGCAATGTTCTGTTGTCTGCTTTCATTTCCACTTTCTGCACCCACCCCCTCACCTCCTCTGGGCTCCTGACTCTTTCTGCAGCCTTTCTACTGCTACTCCTTGGCTCCTCCTTACTGCTGTCTTTCTGCCACACCCCTGATCTTCTGGTAGGAAAGATCTACACCTAGCCTTCTCGGACAAGGGCGAAAAATCTCAGAGGGCCCGTGTGCAAGTTGCGCACGTTAAAGATCCCTTGGTGGTCTAAAATCGATAAGAGTAGGCTTCGGCCGCCACCCGGGCAAAATTCAAAATTTCCTACCAACTGAAAATATTAGGAGTGTCCCGCGCGCTCATATGACCTTATGCAGTTGCGAGCGCCGTAAAACACTTTACAAAAACAAACAAATAGTGTATTTTCACAATAATTATCGTTTTTCTCAAAATGTCATTTTTTGCCGTTTTTTCCCTACTCCTTCCTCAGTTTTCATCCTTTTGACATGAAACTTCCAAGAAACACAGATGGTAAAGCTGTCATCAATGTAACAGAGATATTTGCTAAAAAAATAACACTTTTCCATTGGCAAACTATTACGTAAGCAAAATTGAGAAAAGGTTTATATACGAGCGAGGGAAAATTCTCATATTTTTTTCTTTTTTGAAATTCATTATTCATTTTCAAGATGGCGGTCATTTCCATAGCAACCGCTGTAGCTATGTAAAATTAAAAAGTACCTATGAACAGACTTTTCTATGTCTAACTTACATGTGTACTTAGATTTGATCTCAGACAACAAATATAGAAAATGGACCTTGAGGATCGCTCCTCCCGTTAATTATCTTCATTTCAGAAAGTAAAAACACTGCTTCCACCTGAATGTTTGAATGCTTTGATATATGCAAAATATCTGCAATTTAACTTTAACCAAACTATTGTGGGCAACTATTTTTAAAATTAGAAATAACAAACTTTTTCAAAGTCTGCTGCGATGCATTTAGGAACTTTACTACTGTTGCATGCAGGAGACCCAAGTTCTATTCCCGAGTGGGGAGAAAAATTTTATCGAGTATCTCAGTCCTTCTGTTGGGATGTTGCATCTCTCTCTCAGAGCCGATGTTGGCTCTGACAGGCAGGGTCGAAAGCCCTATTCCTTAATGGTTTAAATTGTGCAGATTGTGCGTGAAAAAAAGCCGCTACACACACTTATAAACTTTGCGACAATTATTTCATGGCATCAGAAGATAGCTCATAAATCTCGAGTCTTATTATTTAGGAAAGGTTTTTCGGCGCTCGCAACTGCATAAGGTCATATGAGCGGCAAGGGGTGGATGTCAACAGAGAAGTCTTTACAGGGAATCAGGCTTACTCTGCTCACCTCTCTAGCTTCAACAGCACGAAGTCTGTTTCGACTTTCAAGGCACCCCGGAAATAGCGGGTCACAAGAGTGTGACAAAAACACAAAAGAAGTAGAGGAAAATAATGATAGTAAGGATTAGGAAAGAAAAAGCAGCAGTTCCCTGTTGTAGTTCAGGCACAGTTATGAGCATGACATTGTTGAATCAGCCCATTTACAATTCTACTGTGCATAAGAATGAGAAATGTCCCCCTTTGGGAATGGCCGAAAGACAATTCAGTCAGTGGCACCGCCCCGGGGGGGGGGGGGGGGGGGGAGTAATCTTGAGTCTGACCTTCATAACCCTCAGAGCATTTGCACACATACCACATCTCTACACCTATACAAGGGCATGTAGAATGTTCACATCTATCACACCTTTGCAATTCAGTCTCATATATTCATGCAAAATTCACAGTGGAAAATGAGAACTTCCCAAATGTAAAAATATTGACAAGTGTTACAAAGAGGCGATGGTCCCTGAGAAAATGACATCTTGGAAATTAAACAGGATTACATAGACATTCACCCCTAACTGTTTGTCTTTATTCATGGTGATAGGTTACCTTTTCAATTAGCCTGAATTACCTCCTATAGTTTGTTCACTTACGTCTCACCCTATTTTAAAAAATATAGCTCGTTTATTAATTAATCAATGCATCAAAGCATCATTTTTTTTTGTCAAGACAAAAGACTTTGCCAAACAATGCTAAGAAAAGACTAATAGAGCAGTGAAAATTCAAAGTTTTCTCTTAATTAATCATGTCACAATACCGTGGTTTAAAAAAAAGATTAAAGATTAAGGTCTCTCTAGTGTGTGTAGGTTTACCGCATCGGCAATTTAAAAAAACACTACCAAACAGTATGTGAAGCTCAAAGTGTCAACTTCTCCTAGCCTAACCCATGAGCATGACACACACAGCTGGCTGTGCAGCAATATAGATGTAGTCCTCCTCAGCACCTTCATGAAAATGAAAAAGACACAAAATAAAACACTTTAGACAAAGTAGCAAACATGTTGCAAGCTTCAAGAATTTTCTCTTCTCATCAACTAAGGTAGTTCAATCAGGAAGAAAAAAACTTATTCAGCCGCTGCCACAAGGGTTTACAACATCAAAATGTTCACCAATCGTTCTCTTTTTGCTAGTATTAAGTCACTACCCTAGATTTACAAAGTTCGATTTGCTCAGTACCTAGTTTTGAGAAAGTCGACATAAAAAATTTTGAGTTGCACATGTCAAGCTTTTTCGAATGCAGTTCTTGAATATGATTATATATAAAATAATTTAAAAAATAATAATAAATGGCATTTATAACGACTCTCACAATTTTTATAACGGATTTAGAAGATTGGGTTTCTGAATTCATGGTCTTATTAACTCAAAATGGCCCAAAATGTCAGATAAAACTTTGAAATTATTCTAAGGTTGCAAAGTGTCAGAACTAAATTATTTGTCTCTACTTATCACTATTATCAGGTGAGTAGCCTGACAATCATTTTTTTAAAAGCTGTGCCTGTGAGTAAGGTGACTAATTGTTCCAAGCATAGACTGAACAGTCATGCTAGATTACATAAGTTCTAGTAGTTCCAATGGTGGAATGATCTGAAAATAATCTTGTGAAGTGCAGACCTTAGCTCTTCTTTGCTCAAGATTTTAAATATGATTTTATTATGACCAAAAAGAATCTTATCAATGTAATGTTTGATCTTATGGACAAAAAAAATGTAACACCTAATTCTCCTGAATTGACGCCTGGATTGCTGCCTGCAACATAGCATCATCGTCTTGTCCAAAGTCCTGGAAACAGATAGACATAGCCCATGATTATGCCTAATAGACGAAAGCCAATAATGTTATGCTCTAAACACGCAACTTAACTATTTTTGTTCTGTATCTACTGCCGAGGTCGATCAGTGGGTCACAAATTTTTTTTAAACCAGGACTCAGCATGACACATAAATTGTGTAAATGTAGTACAGGTAAATATACTGTCATCATTTGTATCAGAAAGAGTGTATTTTTGTGTATTGAAAAATGTTCTAGGGACCACTTACATGGTTACAGCATAACACTATCTGATTGCATGTTTAGTCTCTAGAAAGGTTCGTCAACAATTTAGTTTTCATCTGTCATCAATGACTAGTCAAGTTCTTCGTACACATTTTTTGTTGTTTGTTTTTGTAAAGTGTTTTACGGCGCTCGCAACTGCATAAGGTCGTATGAGCGCGCGGGACACACCTAATATTTTCTGTTGGTAGGAAATTTTGAATTTTGCCCGGGTGGCGGCCAAAGCCTACTCTTATCCATTTTAAACCACCAAGGGATCTTTAACGTGCGCAACTTGCGCACGAGCCCTCCGAGATTTTTCACCCTTGTCCGAGAAAGCTAGGTGTAGATCTTTCCTACCAGAAGATCAAGGGTGTGGCTGAAAGACAGCAGTAAGAAGAAGCCAAGGAGTAGCAGTAGAAAGGCTGCAGAAAGAATCAGGAGCCCAGAGGAAGGGGCAAAGGATGTGAGAGTGTGGGGGCAGAAAGAGGAGACGAAAGCAGACGACAGAACATTGCTAGAGAGCAGGAAATGAGATGAAAGGTGACAAATTTAGATTTAAAAAATTTCCGGTCGCTACCTGGATTCGAACCCGGTACCTTTTGAATGAGAGGCCAACACCTTAACTTCTAGGCCAAGAGAGCCCCCTCATACATATTTAAAGCAGCTGTATACTATTACATTTCAATCAGCACCAAAAAAATTTTTTTTTCATATTTCCACAAACTCATCTCTGGGCCTAGAGATTAAGGTATTCGCCTCTCATTCAAAGGTCCCCGGTTCGAATCTGGGTAGCGACAGTAAAAAATTTTTCTCTAAAATTATTTCCTTTCACCTTTTTCCTACTCTGCAGCAATGTTCTGTCGTCTGCTTTCGTCTTCACTTTCTGCCCCCACCCCCTCACCTCCTTTGCCTCCTCCTCTGGGCTTCTGACCTTTCTGCAGCCTATCTACTGCTACTCCTTGGCTCCTTCTTACTGCTGTCTTTCAGCCATACCCCTGATCTTCTGGTAGGAAAGATCTACACCAAGCCTTCTCGGACAAGGGCAAAAAATCTCGGAGTTGCGCACGTTAAAGATCCTTTGATGGTCTAAAATCGATTTATAGAGTAGGCTTCAGCCGCCACCCGCGCAAAATTCAAAATTTCCGACCAACTGAAAATGTTTAATGTGTCCCGCGTGCTCATATGACCTTAGCCGTTGCGAGCGCCGTAAAACATTTACAGTAAAAAAAAAACCAATCCTATTTTTTTCTTTGACATTTTGACTACATTTTGTAGAATAACCCAGTGAAAATCAATACAAGGTAAGCTTCATAAAAGTAGTCTCTTTATGATAAAACTTGCTGTGAAGAAAAATATTTCAGTCACAAAAAGATGTTTGATTATAAAGAAAAATTGTTCAGACACAAAAAGGTGTTTGATTATGAAGTTCGCACAATTCCTAGTTCAATCCAGAGGTAAACTAGAGAGATACATGTGTAAGCACAAATACCGACAACTGAAGAAAATAAGTAGGCAAGGATAGTACAGCCGGACAATAATTATCATGATCTTAATTCTGATAGATTTTTACCGGAGATCAAAGCATTTTCTTACAAATGTACTTACCACATAGGTTTCGTACTCAAACTTATGTCGCATATTGAGGTGCTGGAGAAAGTTGGAACTTTTCATGTTCGAAACACCCCAAGGCATGGAGGCACAGACTGGGCACACCTGCAGAGTACAAAGCAAAAGATGGCGACTGTTTGAAAAAATATCCCCCACATATATAGGAAAAAATTAGATTGACTGGATTCTGAAATCTTTTTCAGTTCTCTGACAATGAGATGGTACAGACTAAGTCTTTTAATTTGTTTTTCATAACAACACAAAAGTCTACATGATTGTTCAAAGGCAATGTGGGTGGTTGGCGGGTGCTCTGGTGTGGTTTGCTTCTTCTTTCCTATCAAACATCTATCGTCCTTATCTCCCCTTCTTCTTTTTTATGTTTGTTACTCTCTTGTAACACCTCTGATCTTCTGGCCCTCATATATATGACTTTATGCAGTTGCGAGCGCCGTAAAACCTACTAAAACTAACTCAAAGGTAATTTTTAAAATTCACAAACAAGGAGTAGGCTACCTTACTAATACATTAGTATTTTTTTAGGTAACCACATGAAGAGAACCCTTTAGAAACAAAGCACACACCACTTTTTTTTTGCTGTTCCAGTGTTGTGTATTGCAGTGGTCCACCAGCTGAGAGCACAGTAAGTTGGCTTCACCACAGTACGGACAGGAAAATGTTGATCTGTTCACCGCAGGACCCCTGGTGAGGAGAAAACAGTCACAAATGCTTTTAAATTTAAAGAGAAGACCAATTTTTTTTTTTACCCAGACTGCTGTGTGTTTTTATTTCAATATTGAATTTGAAAGCTATTTTAATGCATTCTTTTGGTTTCTAGAGTGAAACAACATCACCACTTGATGTACAGCATTACATTCCATGACCAGGTATTGTCAAATATGTCAGGAGACATCTTGAACTTGAACAGTATACCCAGCATCATTGTTATGCCTTCAATGTATTTGCAATACAAAATTTGAAGGAAAGGAATAATAAGTAGAACTTCCTGCTGAGATAAGAAAATATACCATTCAAAGATCAATGCTGATGGGTGGGTTCAAACTACATATAGGGAAGGGCTGACAATGGAGAAAAGCATACAGTTCTCATGATGTGGAATTGCTTCCACCATATTCTGACTGAATTTGCCACATAGGTGTCATATTCAATACTTCAGAATGAAACACAGAACTTGCACTTGCATGTATAGTAGAGCACACCTATAAAGAACTCTCTTGTGAAGAACTGACGGAAATAAAGAACACATTTCTTTGCCCCTTTTTTTTCTCTCTTTGGTCATTTATATTTTGACACATTTAGCGAACATACGTTAATGAACTTACGGCTGAAATAAACAAATTTTCTTGCCCAACAAGTCTTTTTCCTTTTTATTTACAACTGAAGTAACGAACCAGCCCATCTCTACGAGTTGGCCGAACCCAGATTTTCCCTACTGCCACGAGAGTCTGCTAAATTAGACTTTGACACACTAGTGTGCAAACATCAGCAGTGCTTTCCAATGCTGAAAGTACGGAGCAAGTGAAGGAAGCTTCGTTGTTTTAGTAGAGGTTTTACCGTGCTCGCAACTGCATAAGGTCATATGAGCGTCAGAAGATTAGAGGTGTTACAAGAGAGTACCGTAACAAACATAAAAAAGAAAAAGGGGAGATAAGGACGATAGATGTTCGATAGGAAAGAAGAAGCATCATCAAACGTACAGTGAAGACCAAGGGCAGATAACTGTGACAGTGAGCTTCGCGAAGGCAAAACAAAGAGTGGAGAAATTCAGAAACTATTTCATAGTAAATGGGGAACTCCGAGGGGGGGTGGGGGGGAGCAATTTTATGTTCTTGGGGACGTGCAAAAGTTTGTCATGGACGTAGGAGAAAGGGAGAAGCAGCAAACATCCACAATTTTCTTTTTTCCTTCTCTTGAGAAGAAATAAGTTACTGAACATGTACCATGGACACCATTCCTATTACTATGACTGAAAAGGACAATGTGAGAAAAAATATGTTTGTGTGTGTGTGTGTTGACAGAAGTAAAGAACTACTGAAGTAAAGAACTATTTCTACTGCCCGCACCTGTTCTTTATATCAGTGTTTCACTGTATAATACAACACGCCACAAAGGGTCACTATTCTGTGGAATGAGCAACGCTTTTACGCTGTCAATAAGCAGTGCATGAGCCGCACTGAAATGCTTCTGTGAAAGGATTAAGATGCCGTTAAAAGCCAGAACGGGCCTTCATACCCAACCAACAATGGTCATCTTACACACTGAAGTATGAGAGGTCAAACTAAATATAATCTCTACACGGCTGTTACCGACTACGAACTTAGTCAAAACGCCAGCTCGCGGCATTCCCCATAACCTCATACTCTGTGACCCCGGTCACTGGGTCAGCGCCACCGGTTCTCTGCCAATGCCCAGTTACAGTTGTTTTCTTATCACACTTCGTTTTTTAAGTGTATAAACTGAGGCAGTAAACAAAAACTGTTATAGTGATCTCACAGAAAATCACACACACTGAACGATCAATACAGACAGTGTGGGCACGTAGAATCGATCGTGAAACTGTATTGGGTACTGTTACAGACATACGGATACTGTATAGTAATTATGAACAGTTGTTAAGGGGTCTGATGTTTTCAGTAAAAATAGAACCTGATTTTATCTGTTGATTTTGATAAAATGAAGGTAGCATGATAAAAATAGGAAAAAGGAAACACTCACATGGTGGCATCGTTGTACGATTCTTCAAAGCAAAGATATTGAAGCTTGAATATAGAATCACAGACAATTGGAGTCTCATTTACACAAGTACATATATGTAGGCCTACCCATGAAACTGAAGAAATTCGTCAGTCCGCAAGATCCCTAGAGACTGAGAGAAGAGCCTGTCGTGTCTAACACTTTGCTGCCACAAGGCTCATATAGTAAAAACTCTTGCCATCAAAGGCAAAGGCATTTTGGAGAAAATCCAAAGAAAGTGGGTGGTAAAAATCGCCGTTCGGCGAGGTGAGGCGGCAAAGAGTTAAATGCTGGAGAAGTGCTGCTGTCTACCATTAGCTGTGTAGGTTTGGATGGCGTGGATGTAGCAATAGGGAGACTTGAAGTGCTGCTGTCTACCATTAGCTGTGTAGGTTTGGATGGCGTGGATGTAGCAATAGGGAGACTTGAAGTGCTGCTGTCTACCATTAGCTGTGTAGGTTTGGATGGCGTGGATGTAGCAATAGGGAGACTTGAAGTGCTGCTGTCTACCATTAGCTGTGTAGGTTTGGATAGCGTGGATATAGCAATAGGGGAGACTTAAAGCTCAACCTCACTATGGCCTGTGGTTGATGAGGCAGCGCTAGTGTCGAGAGATGCGATGCCTTTGTCCTGTCTTTCTTCATGCCTAGTATTGTCCTCTCTGTGTGTAGATGGCTCTGCAGTTGAGTTGCTTGCTACGTTTGTCGAGTCTTCAAATGTATGTGGTGAACGTGTTGTCTCTGTAGTTTCCGATGTTTTTGCTGCTACTAATTCTACTGGAATTTTCTTGCTCCCCATTGAGTTGCGATGATAGTGTGTGCATATCGAACAGTCACTCGCACGTGAATCAGACCGAAAGCTGTCCACAAATTTAAGGAGGTTTCAGCTGCTTTTCTTGCCTTACTATAGTTCCCTCGTATGAATGTGTCCCACTAGTATACTGCGCTTTATCTTGTTGGTACAGGCATAACATATCGTCAGTGAATGTTACTCCATTCATCAACTGCTATCGTAACGCCAAATACCAACAAGATATCATGTGCAAAGTCAATGCATTTGTACTTGACAGACTTCTACCACCACATTCTCTACGAAGTTCATGAATATACCGAACATGGGACGCTTCATCATGGCACTCCAATATGAATATTAATGTTATCAATACTCCACAGCAAAATAGCAGCAGAAATCCAAACAAAGCGAACAAAGCTTGGGGTACTTTCACACTCCAAGGTCTACATAAAATTGATCACTATGAATCACACAGAATACGTACAATGTTCTCACTTTCACATGTAACTCAGTACTCTTTTCCCAAAAGTAATCAAGTAAAAAAAGTTTAATTGTAGGTGAAATTACTGAGAAAAATAACTTCAAATAAAAATAAATAGATGAAAGTTGCTTTAAAAGTAATAAAGGACGGAGAGCACTTCTCAGCCACCAGGATCAACACTAGTGAGTGAACGCACACCAGAGAAAATTATATCGTCTTGTTGGGTTGAAGCAGCCCTTTAAAATGAGACCCCACATAGAGACATCGCATCTTTAGACCGGGAGATATTGAGGATCAAATTAATCGAAAATGACTGGAATCAAGTTTCCTAGACCCAGCAGAGGCATGCCAGGAGTGTCGCTGCTGCCACGGTACCTTGCATGGCTGACGGCTGATTTATTACCATCTCGGAGTGGTCGGCGGGAAGCCCTTGCTCGATAACTAAACTGGCGGTTTTGGGGCGATTTAGACAGCCGTGTCCAACAAATCAACAAATCACTAATGTTTTTAAACATATACATATAGCGACTAATTCTTTTATGAGGTAGGAAGAAGGTGGTGGCGACGGATTGGACACACTCTCAGGAAGTCAGGCAGCAGCATAACAAATAGAGTTTTAGATTGGAATCCACAGGGTACGAGATCAAGGGGAAAACCGCGTGGAACCTGGAGAAGAATCACAGAAATTGATGAACAGAAAAGTGGGAAGACATGGAATAACATCAAGAGGCTAGCCCAGGATAGAGAAAGGTGGAAAGTGTTTGTCCGTGGCCTATACCCTGGTGCAGGGTGAGAGAGGCAATGATGATGAATTCTTTTATTAAAAGTTCAGTGCATTTACCTGCTTGCTCCAGCCTGTGAAACTCTGGCTAGTTCCTGTTGAGTTTTTGCCGAGGGGCAAATCATTCTGTGTTGCTTCATGTACAGGGCCAAAACCTGGGAAAAATAAAACAGAAACAAAAAAATTCTAAACTGAAATTTGGGTTAGCAAAGTATGCAGGCATATTGCGCAAAGAAATGTCACGCTAACAGAAACCTACTATTGTCATTATTCAGTGGAGCCTGACAGTAAAATATGATGTCAGATAAGACTAATAGGCCTATATATATGTTCGTGTGTGTGTTTGCGCATGTGTGCATGTGCGTGTGCGTTTATGCCTGTGTGTGCACCGTGGAATCAGGTGCTTATCAGTTTTTGGACATATAGAGTCACTGGCACCATCTTAAAGCTTATTTATTTGTCTTGATTTTGACGAAAAAAAAAACAACCCAACTATCTTGAACAGATGTCTAGATATCTGTGATTTAAGCGGGTGGGGATCTCATTGTCACTTCTGTCAGAAGCAAAATTAGCAAGAAAATGGCCCCCAAAGTTTGGTAACTTCTACGGCTTGAGTGTCTTTGGAAACTGAAAATTTACATTTTTTTTGCCTTTGCCTTTGAAATTGAAAAAAAAAACGTTTAGAGTTTTTTAAATTGCCCAATTGAGGGGGGGGGGGGCTGGCTCCCCCAACTTCTTGAAAGTAATGCATTAGGGTGTGGGAGTAGGCCTAAAGTATAAAATTGCCCTGCACAGGCCTTATGACAGATCGTATTCTAATGATAGACCATCAGGTAGATTTTGGTCAACCAGGCACGATTTATGGAGAAATCATTAACCCTACACTTGCATTCTTTTAGCAAGACAACCAAGTAAATTTCAAATAGATTTGTCTAATATTGTTGTATGCAGTGGATAATGTTCAGAGGCAAAAATGAAAAATGACATACATCCATCTTGCAATCCCCACACTGAAGCAGGCGACAGGAGAGTCTTTCATTTATTTCTGCGTCAGGATCACAGCGCTGAACTACAGATCGACACTTGGGGCATTTAGTAACTGTTTTCTCTGCTTGTAACCGTTGAATACATGCAAGGCAAAAGCTGGTTCAGGATAAAAGAAAGAAGAAAAATTACGGAAATCAAATATGTTGTCAAAGCATTGGTGGCCTAGTGGTTAGGCTTTTGGACTCGCAACTACTAGATCATGGGTTTGAATCCCATCAGGGACCAGATGTGGTGTCCATGGTGAAGGCACTTTACTCGAATTTTTTCGACTTCACTTTGATGGGAATGGATATCCAGCTGTAGACAGTGAAAGATCCTGTCAGTTTGTTGATGTTTTAGTACATGCAACCCAAAGTTTGCACTGAATGCTTCCCAGGAAGCTATAATTTTTCTGACTGTTCTTGGGTCTTCTGGGGTAAAAACGGCTGTAAAGTGCATAGAGCATGTCGTAGAGCGTGGATAGGAGCTACATAAATGCAACCATTATCATATTATTATTGGCCGCTTTGAAGCATAAAGGGGTTATCCCGAAAACTGCTGTTTTGAGAAATCGAAGGTAAAGATTTTGCCCCTTTTTCAGTTTCTTTAAAAGACAAGGAGAGTTTTCTCTATAACCAATCAATTATACACACCAATGAAACCAAACTTCTCCTATAGGTAGGGTAATGTCCACTTTTGGTGTAGGTCAAGATTTCTGGAAATCCCAGAAATCTGGGTTAGCCCGCTAGTCCTTAAAAGCGACCAATTATTAATGGTTTCCTATGGACTTGTTCTCAACTCAGTTGATATCGTGCCTGCCAGTGAAGAGGATGAACCTGGTTCCATTCTCTAATGGGGTACTCTCCAACATTGACGATTAAGGAGTGCTCACTCCTGAGTGCTTTCCACCATTCGATGGACTGAGGTTTTGTCCTTAAAATTATAATTCCAATGTGTTGAAAGTGGCATTAAATCAACATAGTATCATCACCGTCACAGGCAATCCACTTCAATCCAAAATTTGAGGATTTTCAATTTTTACATCCCCTCAAAGCTCCATAAAAGATGCACCTTTCAACATCACCAAAATGAAGTTTATGCTACAGTCAAGGGTTACAATTTTCTTGTTTTTCATGATTCATGACAGGAATAACACAGAAAAAACTAGTTTTTGTCTTAGACTAAATAGTACCCAAATGGACTTATTAAGTGGATTGCTTGCGACACCAACGATATCTCACAACAGCTACGATAGACTTCAGTTGCAGAACTGCTTGAACCTGTAGCCCTTTCCGGTACCCCCCCCTCAAAACTAAAAAAAACCTCTCTAAAGTTTATGGCTAGAATAAATCTACTGCACAATCACAATGTTGAGGAAAATTAGACCATATACAAATCTGAGCATAGAGACCAATTATTCAATCAAATGGACTTTATACATTATGTATTTAAAGACATATTCTTCACCTCATAGCCAAGAAAGATATCATGTACAAGTACATGTATGTGAAGAAAAATGAACAAGAAACTATCTAAGGGTTGTATTGTCAAATCATCTTGAATCATCAGAATAATTGGGACAGCTGCAATTTAATCATCAGTGGCAGCAAAATCAGATCATTGGAAATCAAAAGCAGTAGGAATCACAAGCGAGTCCCTTTTCAAAGAACTATGAACTTCTCATGTACTGAAGCTTGAACTTTGTACAAGACAACTTTTACCTGTGTCGGCAGGGATGTAACACATGTGGCTCACTGTAACTATCCATACATATAGCACATTCAAATTCTTCTTCTGCAGCATGAGGGTAGTCAGTCTCCATTTTAAGAAATTGGAGCCTTGTGGTCAACAACAGTCAATTTCTGTTAAAATGTAAAAGAAATGTACACACATCAATAAAAATAACATTTACCTTATAAGATGAGATAAAATAAGATAATACTTTATTACCCCAGAGGAAAATTTTTCTTGGCTGTACAGGACCGTATAAACACATGCAGGTATACATAAAAATTTAAATTATACATTACTCTCAATAAAATTCAAAGAAGAGAAAAGAAGCTGACAAAATGTACATGTCACATCAGATGCATCATTCAACCACATGCAGGAATTTCATTACATGACCTTTAAAGTTATATATATAGAGATACATACTCAAAAGAGCAATACACACTGATGCTTATTCTAATAACAATAGCCTATGCTAGAAGGTAAAAAACTTCTTTTATATCTTTCTTTCTTTGTTTTTAGAAGTACATATCTTCCACTGCGTGATCTGACAATTTCCGTGGAAAGTGGGTGAGATGGGTCGTTTATAATGCTTTTTTATCTTTTTTATATTTGTGGTGTTACATTTCATCAATTCTAGTAAAATCATATCCATAGATCTTGCTGGCTTTCGTAATGATTAGGTCGAATTTTTCTTTATCTTCCACCATATAATCCCCAGCCCAGCAGCAAATACAAAACAATAGTATTAATAGCACACTTTGTGGCCAGACTGTGGACAATAGTCATTGTACACTTTTCCCCAATCATCAGATTTACAATTGTAAACGCAACGTACGCCTACACGTATTTCGAAAAGTGAGGCAGACCTGCCACTCTCATGAAATCTAAAAATCAGGATCTCACTGGGAAAAAATCAGGATTTGGTGAAAAAAAACTGGGATTTGGTGAAAAAATTGGGATCAACAACAAATCATCAAGGTAACTGCCAAGCTGACTATAAAATGTTCCTGGGGTGTCCATAATTTATATATAATATACCATTTATACGCCCTGTGTGTCTGTGTGTGTGTGTTATCATTTTTTTTTTAAATCCTGAAGTATCACATCAAGAATATTTCTAGTATAAGTGTCTAACACCCCCCTCCAATAAGTGCAGAAAGACACTTAAACTTCAACCAGCATGCATGAACTTTAGCTGACCCTGTCAACGGACGGTCCCCGACACACGTGCTACTCACACACCGAAGTCATGTCATGTGATGCGAACGCGCAACTGAAACAACTTTACCTTTTGGATCATGACGACTGGCCCGTCTAACCAGAGCTCGGACAATGCTAGTTTTGAAAGTAACAGCAGAACAACGAATAATCATTTTTGTATTATGTCGCATTCAAAATAGTTATCAGGTCATCATCGGAGAATTCTGGGTGGAAACAAAAACTCAAGTAGATCTTGACAATGTCCCGTAAGTCGGAATACCAAATCAATACTACTTTCATTGTACTTGAAATAACACGTGCGAGCAAAAGTTCCAACACAACTTGGGGCTTCAACTACTAAATGCACCATCAATATATATTTAAGAAAATAGTGCTCCGAGTTCCACTGACAAGAGGTAAGTTTAATGGGTGCTTCCCACGACAGAGAAGAAGGCAGAGTAAGTTTTTAGAAAAATCTTGTGCAACAGACTGAACGAAAAAATCGGGTTGACATTGAGGAAAATCGGGATGCCTGAGATTTGGGGGGAAAAATCAGATCCCGAGCAAATCGTCAGGGTGAGTAACAGGTCTGGCGAGGTGTTTTTAAGGAGTTGAGTATGTAAAGACAGAGATAACTGGTTGACACTGCCTACAGAGAGGAGCTTTCAAAATCAGATGCAAAGCATAGAAAGGGGAAAAAAAGGTAGTGTTATGACTTACCACTTCAGCAACTGACATTGATATAGAGAAAAAGTAATGTGGGCGGGGGTTCAGGGGGGCTGCCACCCTGAATTTAACCACAACTTGATACTTCGCAATTAGGTTTGCTATATTAATATAGAGGTATATATGATATCTCTCGCTCGCTGGGCATCAAACATCATAACGGCAGGCACATCGAAAAGCAACGATTTAGAACCAGAAGTAACCACCCCCCTGAATTTTATCCTAATTTGATGTTTTGCAACTTTAGGTTGCATCCCTGCTCGTTGTGTAGCCTATTTGGTCATCAAGACATCAAGACTTCATGAGAACTTCTCTGGATGTAAACAAATGGATCGTGGACTTTAACGAACGGAGCTACAAGATCACCGATTCTAGATGTATTACTATCTAAATCTAGATCTAGATCTAGATCTAGATCAGCTGAAACCCCCCTACTCTTGACTTTAACGAACGAAACTACAAAATCGCCTAGATCTAGATCTAGTCTAAGCCTACTAGATCTAGATCTAGATCTAGATCTACTCACATTTTAATATGGCATCGTTTTAATATTATTTCTCAAAAAATAGACTCGACTCGTCTCTTGGATGTTGCTGTATTTTGATTTTATACACAATACACAGACAAGATAAAAGGCTTCCTTCCTGACAAGTTGAAGTTCTTGGAAGCCAGTAGGGCCTTTAGCCAGCAGCCACAGCAAAGTGCATAGATCTAGATTCTAGGTCTAGTGCAAAGTGTAGCGTATTGGCCTAACCCAGTTCAAGCAGTAGGCCCAAGAAGATCTGGTTCTAAGTCAAGGAGCTTAAATAAACCTCCTTGTTCTAAGTAAATAGTAAACCATGAGTTATCTCCTTTTAGTGTAAATCCAGAGACACTAAAATACTCTCTGGTAAATCTATTGTTTGTTTGTTTAGTATAGGGTTTTACGGCGCTCGCAACTGCATAAAGTCATTTGAGCGCGCGGGACACACCTTATACTTTTTCGTTG